GAGCATATGCCACATGGTATAAAGCAAGCACTTCATTAGCATTATCTCAGTGTTCCTGATGTCCAGGAAATGCGTGGCCATAGTACTATAGGAACAAGTGCTCATTTCATGAACTTGGAGCTCAGCAATTCAAAGCTGAGCTCATCACTTATTCATAAAGCCAGTATTTCTGACTTTCATGAGTGATGCCATGGAACACCGGGCACTGGAACCAAAACCCTGCCTTGGCTTCACAGCCCATTCCTACTCCCCTCATTCTTCTCCTGCACATGCCCTTACAGACCAAGACTATTTCATTGAGCATTTTGAGATGTCTGCACCCTGGGCTGGGATGTGGCTCAGTGACTGAGTGCTTGCTTAGTATGCAGAAAGCCCTGTACTTAAACACACACACACACACACACACACACTTCCCCAGTCCCTCACCCTCCCATTCTCACTACGTTTGCCCACCCCACTTAGACCTTTGTATCTCTGTTCTATCATACAATCAGTTCCTAATCCTGCTGACACCAATTGGATCGGACATAGGTCCCTTTCCTTGAAGCTGTCACGTGAACCTTTCTGAAATGTAAAACTGATAGTAACTCTCACCTTAGAATGCTTCCTCCTTCTCCCTAGGATAAAGTCCAAATATGGGGACATAGCAATGGAGTCTCCAGAATCAGCCCTAATTCCCAGCAAGCTCACACCCTCTCTCCCTGATACCCAAGCCCTGGCTGCGTGTGTGGCAGCCCCTAGGATCTGGCAGCAAGGCTCCATGTCTGTGCCTCCCCAGGCCCTACATCTGGGGATACTCGGCACCTATGTCCAGCCAGGCCCTTGCCTGCTCGTCACATTTCTGGCTAGACCCTCAGGTAGAATGAGACATTCTTGTGATCTCTCACCACTAGTAGCCACATTCCTTTGGCACCTATAGTACTTTTTGGTGAACTATTGACATGACCTATTTTCCTGTCTCTAAAACCCATACTTTAGCCAGGCACCAGTGGTTCACACTTATAATTCTACATAGTCAGGAAGCTGAGATTGAGGATCATGTTTCGAAGCCAGAAAAGTACATGAGACTCTTATCTCCAATAAACTATGCAAATATATATATATGCACACACACACACACACACACACATACACATACATATATCAAAAGAAGTGGATCTGTGGTTCAAGTGTTAGAGCACTAGCCTTTAGCAAGAGAAGCTCAGGGACAGTGCCTAGGCCCTGAGTTCAAGCCCCAGTACCAGCAAAAAAATACCAACCAAAAAACCCATGCTTCTAAGTTCTCATCCCTGGCCAGAACTGCTGTCCCCAAGACATGCTGGTAAGCAAGTAAATGCACCACCTGGACAAGTATTGTAAAGGACTGCAAAAGCAGTGTTTTCTCATTTACTCCTCCAACAACATGTGACAGAGGTGCTATATTTTTACCTTCTGAGGCCAACAGGATCACAGAGCTGAAAAAGATAGTGGTTAGAACTTGAACTCACCTCTTTATTACCTCAAATCAGCTACGCTGACATGCCCCCATCCGATATGTATAGCTCTTCACCAGGCTGTTTCTAGACTTTTGTGGGAAGCTCACAGGAGAGGAATTCCCAAGAGTATTCTGAAAGGAAGAGAGATTCTTGCTAGAGAACTTAATGACAATAGGCCTTCTTCATAAATGTATTCAAGGTTAAGATGAAACAATAAGGCCACTAAAGATGATTTGTAATTTTACCTCTCCTGTGAGTTCACATTTCTGGAAAAGCCAGCATTACAGTTCTGTGGTCCATATTAAATTATCTTCCCAATTCTTCCTTTCAGGCACTGTTCTAGCATTGTGAAATCTCTGTTACAAGGGCATTGTTTCATGATTTATTATACAAGTCAAACTTGCCTTCCCATTGCTTCACTTAATTCTAACCATTGTAAAAAGTTAGAGCCAGCCTGGTACAAAGGCAGCTGTGGGTGTGAATATGGTCAGAGTTTAGCTTGAAAACCCTGGGTCTCAGAGAAAACAAGTCATTAACTGGAATTTCAGGGTTTATTTTTTCCTCTCTAATGAGCCAGGAAACTATTCCAAATACGTCTGCGATTCATTTATCACTCCCCACTTTAGCAGTCTTCCAAGTATTCACAAGAGTACAGGCTTGCATGTGAGCTGAAGGACTTTTGAAATAAAATCCATGTACCTACAATTGTCATCACCCGCCATCACTGTACTTTCATTTTAGATGAGTTGCTGAAATTACTGGCATCTTCTTTTTAACCGAATGAAGCTTAGCATTTAATACAACACAGTAGGCTCCTTTTATCCACTGGGATACATTCCAAGATCCCCATACATGTTTGAAACCACAGACTTTCCAAGTATTATGTATTCTGTTTTTTGTATATATACATATGAGAGTTTAACTCTTTATACATAAAAGACTAGTAATAGAACAATTATGACACTACTAGTAATAAAATTGCCACTCTTGTTTTTTGAGGCCCTTAAGTAAAATAAGAATTACTTGGGTTATACAAAGGGACATACAAAGCAACAAAAAAATCACGTGGTACCTTATAAATACATTAGAAACAATAGCAAGAAAGAAAAAACCACTTGTGTCCTTATTTTGGGATTCATTTCGCTTAACATCATCTTATCTGACTTTTTCTGCTTGTCTCAGATATATACTAGTTAATGCAAATAAGGGAAACCATGGGACCTACGTTTCTTTGGGCCTGGCTTACTTCACTTAATATAATTTTTTCCAACAGGTTGATCCATTGCAACAATGAGATGTACAAGACACTATGTCGAAAAAGGCGGTAGTTGTGGAGGTGGGAGGGAAGGGATGGTAGGGGAAAAACAAAGGAGGAGGCAAACAATGCTTGATAAGAAATGTACTCATTACCTTGCTCATGTGATTGTAACCCCTCTGTACAGTATTTTCACAATAAAAAAACTTACTTAAAAAAAAAAAGAATTACTTGCCAGGTGCTGGTGACTCACACGTGTCATCTTAGCTACTCAGGAAGCTGAGATCTGAGGATCATGGTTCAAAGCCAGACTAAGCAGGAGAGTCTATGAAATTCTTATCTCTAGTTAACCACCTAAAAACCAGAAATGGAGCTATGGCTCAAAAGTGGTAGAGCCTTGAGCAAAAAAGAAAAAAAAAAAACTAATCTCAGGGACAGTGCCCAGGCCCTGAGTTTTAAGCCCCATGACTGACCAAAAAATAAATAAATAAATAAAATATATATATATATATATATATATATATTTAAACACAAGCACAATTGATGTGGTAGATGCGTAACTAGTGGGTTTGTCCAGCATAAATTCACTGGACAAAAGCAAGAACGAAGAAGGCAGTGCAAGATTCTTTTATGCTATTCAGAACAGCTGTAATTCTAATGAATTGTTTGTTTGTGAACTACTGTTGTGAGAAACAAAACCAAGAACCACTTTATCAACAGACAGCCCGAAGGGATATGTTCTGAAAAGTTTGTAGCATGTACTTGCCCAAACTAAAATAGCTACAACATCATTGGGCAATATAACTTAAAGTCTATCGTGATATATATAGTCTGTTGTTGATCAAAACATCATTATATAGCACATGCTTGTATTTTAAAGACGTGTATTTGGGGTCAGATATGATTGGGGGGGGGATTGTTTTGTTTTTGTTCTGTGCCAGTGGTCCTAGAGCTTCAACTTTGGGCCTGAGCACTGTCCCTGAGCTTTTATGCTCAAGGCGATTGCTCTACCACTTGAGTCACAGTGCCACTTCCAGTTTTTTTGGTGATTAATTGGAGATTAGAATCTCACAGGCTTTCTTGTTGGGGGATAGCTTCAAACTGCAATCCTCAGATCTCAGCCTTGTGAGTAGCTAGGCGTGCAGGTATGAGCTACAAGCACCCAGACCCAAAGTGCTTTTATTAAGCAATGTGAACATCATAAGATTTCCTAAGACTAAAAACATTCTCTATTACTACTTTTGCTCTGGATTTAATTTCACCTTCTGATTCTAATTTAGTAAATGAAAATAGTAAATAGAAATAGCACTTGCCCACACTTATGGTGTGTTGGGTACCATATTGGGCAATTAATGTACACCATTTTATTTCAGTAGCCTTTAAGGAAGTTACTGTGATTTCTATCTAAGCAAGAGGAAGCTGAGACTCTGAGGGCCAAGACACTTTGCAGGAACCAAGCCTCAGAACTGTCCATCCCCCAACCAGTCCCTTCCCTCCAAGACACTTCCCTACAAATCCAGAACTGATTTGTTTTATAGAAGGAAATTGTACTGACTTCTCTCTGACGCGCCTTCTGAAAGCCTGATTTCCAATTCTGTACTTTTTCTCAAGCATGGCCCAGCTTGAGTTTAGCCACTGTAAAAGCCCCAGCAGTGAACTGAAGGATCCACATGAGGCCATGGAATGACATTCTCTGCCCAAAGGTCATTGTTCCCAACCAAGAGCTGAATCAGGTTCCAGCTTAAGCAAGGACAAATAGGCAGAAGGAAAGTAAGGCATTTACCCAGAAAGCTAGAATCAGAAAGTAATGAGGAAAATAGACCCCCCGCAAAAAAAAAAAAGCCAGTGAATGTCTTTGGGAGGGCAGAATGCAGAGAAATTTTGCTTCTCTTGGAACAGAAGAGAAATTTGGAATATTTCAGGGAAGAAATGGCATTTGAGCAGTCTTGCTCTTGCAGAATGGGCAAAAGTTCATTTCAAAGAAACTATGAACAAAAGCATAGCAGAAGCAGGAAAGGTAAGCTGTTGGCGGGAACTGGGCATCAATGATGCATGTTACCAACATGGCATCTGCTCTACAGACAAACCTGAGGCTCAGGAGGCTGGTAGCAAAGACAGCAAATCCCACAACCAAATACTGTTATAAGGATCTACTACTGGTCAAGCAGCCTTTCAAATTTCTTCTTTTTGGATAGTATTCTATAGGTGCATAGAAGCAGCCATGCTACATAATTTTTATTTTAAGATCCTCTCTGGTTTTGCTCTTGCAGAAGGAAACGCCGCTGGCCAACGCCGCATTCTGGGCAGCGAGGAGGGGAAACCTGGCCCTGCTGAAGCTGCTACTGAACAGTGGTCGGGTGGATGTGGACTGCAGAGACAGTGTACGGAGGGAAGGGCCATGGTATCTGCATGCCCAGCGGACCCCCTCTTTGTACCCCACAGGCATGCGAGCACCTCACAATGCACTTTCCTTTCTATGTTTATTTACTTGGTCATATTATGCTTTTCAAAAAAAATAGGAAGGGAAAGTCAGAAAGGAAATTGTTATATGCATAAAACAGAAGATGGCCATCAGAGACACTTCACTAGAAAACAGAATTGGCAAGTTGCATAAAGATATGGCAGTTTAGTAAACACTTCACTAAAAAAGAAAGAAAGAAAGAAAGGGAAGGAAGGAAGGAAAAGAAAGAAAGAAAGATGAAATGCAGATAATTTAATGCACAGGTAGGCTGCTGTGGATGTGGGTGTTCTGTTTTGTTTTGGGATTTTTTTTGCTATGTGGAAGAGAAAAGTGAGAAACAGAAGGCTTCACCAGCCTCCTTTTTTGAAATCCTTTCATTTCCTTTTTCAGATCAAAAGACATTGATTGACTAGCAAATGAAAAAGGGAAATAAAAATAGATACTACTGCCCCTGGTGGGTAGCTCTTGGAGAACCCTATCCCCCCAGCTAGAGGCCATCTTTTATGCTCAGCTGGACTTTTCTTCATCCCTGGGGAAAAGGAGGACCACAGATGAGGAGATGATTTTAGGATTGGAATCAAAGTGTTTTCAAAGGTATCTTTATTGTTTTTCTAGGAACTGGGTGTGCCACTTCCTGCTTCTATTGCATAAACTTGTAAATGAATTATGTTCCAAGCCCAGAAGGAAAATAGTAGTTTGTTCCATTTTTGTCTACTGGGATATCAGGGCAAGAAAGCTTTAGTTTGCACCCCAAGACCCGCTCTGCACCCTTCTGCCACTGACTCTGTTTCTCAAGGGCTGAACCCAGGGAACAATCCCATCAGCCTCCCTTCCCAGTGGCCTTCAGATGGGTGTTTGCCAATGAAATCATCAGCAAGAGTCAGAGGGTGGGAGATGAGGATGCTGGGGAACCCAGTGCCTTCTCTGTCCTGTCTGGCAATGGTGCTTCCGGTCTGCATCCCAGGAGCCAATAGCTTTCCTTCATGCCTTCAGACCTGGTTGATCATGGAGCCCCACTCACCCCACTCCCCAGAACTAAACTGTTCTTGTGTATCACCCCGGCCCCCATAGTGTTGTTAGCTCTCATACATGCTAAGCAGTTACTGTAGACTACCACTAAGCTACATCCCAACCCTGTACTGTTGTTTTTAGTTTCTAACACCTAGGGCACAGCTTTATAAATAGTCTTTTTATTAAATCTCCTTCCAGTTATCCTAATCTGAAGATGCCATCTGTTCTTGATCAGAACCCAGACTGATAGAGAGTTCCAGCCATCTGTGAACTGGTGGCCTGGTCTTACTTAGCCTCCCTGGGCCAGTTTCTACCACCACCCCATCCCCCACCCCCACCTCTGCCCACTGTCTGGCACTGTGGAGTAAGGCCGTTTAGCATTGTGGCCTCACCACTTACACAACCACTTTTCCTCTTTTTCTTCAAGTTATTCCTGTTTAGACACCCTGGTGACTTCTCAAGGTCCGCCTGCTGTACATACTCTCATTCTCTCCAGCTCCCTGAGTCACCCATCCTACCTCCGCCCTTCCCACAGCGCACAAACTCAGACAGCTCTGTTTGCTGAATGATCAAGAGCTATTTTAGCCAGATACTGTGTTTTCATGAATAGATTCCTACATAGATTACTCCCCCTCATTTAATTTTTTCAAAAAATCTCTTTATCAGGAGACTTCTGGAGAGATGGCTCCTTAACTCTAGGAGTAAGTCTGAATGTCAGTTGTTTCAGACATCTTGAAACTTGGAAAGGGCCTCTTAGGCTGGTGACTGAGGGCCGGGGAGATGTGTGGAAACAGTGTAGGCTTTTGTTCCTCTTGGAATGTCACTGGCTGGGCTTCTGCCCCCTCCGCATGCCCCTTGAGCATGGAATCTGGGATCCAGATGGTGTCTTCTGGTGATGACTGATCTCTAGGCTAGTACTGCAAGGCCCTGTGGGGCCAACCTCTAGCCCATGTAAGAATCCACTGAGAGCCATTAGAACAAAGGAGAGGCTCCAGGGCTTTCTTGGGATTTTTTTTTGTTTGTGTGTGTGATTACTTTTTTATTTTATTGCTTAATTATCTTTAAGTAGTTTTTACAAAGGGATTTCAATTCAACATGCCAGTTTATGAGCACAGTGCATTTTGGTCAACTTCACCCTTTCTATCACTCTCCCCCATTCCCCTCCCAAACCTCACCCCATATCTTGGAATTTTGGGAGGGGGTAACTCAAAAGGTGACCATATGCAAACATTTCTAATGAACACCATTGTAAAAGACAAATATTTTAGAATGGAGGATATCATCAGTGGTAGTGTACTTGCCTAGCATCTATAAGGCCCTAGCTTGAATCCCTGGCACTAGAGAGGAAAGGGATAAGAAAGAAGGAGGAAGAAAAGGGGAAGGAGCCATAGAAGGAAGAGGAAGGAGAAAGAAGAGGAAAGAAGAGAAGATAAAGAAAAATAAAACTAGGAAAAGAAAAGGAGAGAAGAGTAGAATAAATGTTTTTATCTCTGAGCCACCCACTGCTAACCAAAAACTTTGATTTGCTAACAGTTTGATCCATAGATTAATGCCATAGTCATATGATGTTTACTTATTTATTTTGCTTTGCAACCCACATTTACTACAAGATTGTACAATGGAAAGATTCTTTTAACCTTTTTAGATGTATTAATGTCTGCATTTCACATTGCTTTTGTTCTGAACTCTACTATATTTGCATACTTTTGTTTATGCTCAATTCAAAGCCAGCAAATGCCAGACACTGGTGGCTCATACCTGTAAACCTAGCTACTCAGGAGGCTGAGATCTGAGGATCATGGTTTGAAGCTAGCCCACTCTAGAAAGTTCATAAGACTCTTATCTCTAATTTATCACCAAAATCTGTAGCTCAAAGGGTAGACTGCTAGTCTTGAGCAAAAAGCCCAGGGACAGAGCACAGACCCTGAGTTCAAGCCTCAGTACTGGCGTGCGCGCGTGCGCGCACACACACACGCACACACACACACACACACACACACACACACACACACACACACACACACACACACACACACCCCACAGTTAAAGATACTCTTATTTTTTATTTTTTAGTGATACTGGTGTTTGAACTCAGGGCTTTCTATTTGTTAATATATGCTCTACTACTTGAGTCATTCTACTAGCCCTTTATGTGTTGATTATTATTTTTTAGGTATTCTGTCTTTATAACAAGCCTGCTTGGACTTCAGTCCTATTTGTGCTTCCCTGAAGAGCTAGTATCGCAAGTGCACACAAACTCAAAAAGCTTTCCTCATTGCTGGGATGACAGACATCTGGCCATTGGTCAAAGAGTCTCTTGGACTTTTTTTTAACCCAAGCTGGCCTTGAACTATGGTCTTCCATCTCCACCTCCCAAGTAGCTAGGATTACAGGCTTGAGGCACCACACTTAGCTATCAGTGAATGAGACCAGTGTAATCCATGACAACCTATTCTTGTTAGCTTTAAGCCAAATGTCTCAGTCCACTGGGTGCTGTAACAAAGTACTTTAAACTGGTAGCTTATAAACACCAGAAATTTACTGCTCAGAGTTGTAGGGCCTCAAAAATTGAGGGCACTCACAAATTTGGTGTCTAGTGAAAGCTCACTAAACCTACTCCTGAGGGCAGTTCACTCACTGCTTTAATCACTTTCCCCCCAAAGCCCTGATGTTACTCTAGTAACGTCAAGCTGGCTACTCTGATCTGGAGAAAACAAAAGCATGAGTTCAACTGAATAATGGAGTGCACAGTATTTAAAGAGTTAAAAAGGTTTCCCACAGTGCTATTATGGTGCCAGGAGCTTTTCCTTGACTCAGCTGTACTTGGCATATGCACAAACAAGACTCCTTAAACTAGCGTAGCCATTCACAGAAGCTTAACAGCTTCTACCCCTTGTGACCTAACATTTGCTGAGCCATCATAACATGGTTTTGATTTCTACCACTGAATCAATATCCATCAGTTACTGAGGTGACCCCATTGCCTCAGTTACCTTGTTCACTAACTTTATTTAATTCAACAGATGCTTTTTTTTTTTTTTTTGTCGGTCATGGGCCTTGAACTCAGGAGCTTTGTGTGCTGACCCTGAGCTCCTTTGCTTAAGGCTAGAGCTCTACCACTTTGAGCCCCAGGGCCTCTCCCAGTTTTTGAGTGGTTAATTGGAGATAAGAGTCTCAGGGGGACTTTTCTTCCTGGGCTGGCTTGAAGTCAAGATCCTCAGATCTCAGCCTCCTTTTTACAGATGAAGAGGATAAAACTTTGAATGGCTTTTGTAATATAACCACGATTATTCTGTAGGTGACCACACAAATGGGCTGTCTTCTCCAGCTCCTGCAGGTGAAATGCCATGAAGCCTCTAAAGTGTACTTGGTCACTCTGTACCTAGTGAGCACCTCCTGGGCACTGTCCTTTTGCTGTCCACAAGTCAGGTTACTAAATATGCAAAGCTGGTAGTTAATAATAAGTTCCAAGTCCTTCCAGACAATTGTGAATTAAACTATGAAAATTAACTTACTCCCCACAGACCCTGACTCTCAATAGTCTCTATTTATTGCAGCAGTTTTGGTACTATTTGAATCATTTTGAAGTTAAAAATTAGAAAAACATTTTAAAAGACTTCCAAATACAGAGAAAACAGCCAATAGCATTTCACTTTTTTTTTTTTGCATTAAGAACAGTGTTTTCACTAAGGAATCATTGAATAAGAACCATAAAATGAAAACCTATCACTATTACTCTAAGTACAATAATTATAGTTCACTTGGACTGTGTTTTTGAAAGTAATGGAAGTGGATTCATAAATTTAAAATTCCAACCTTGGCAGTGTATTGCTTTGCTTTTTCCAAGCTAGTGCATTATGGGATTATTTATGAGGCCCTTTTATCATGGCAGGGAATTTATACTCAGGTGCTAGGTGGGGCTAGCACCTCAGCAGTCTTTTCTCCAGGATCCCTCTCTCTGATAGAACAGGGATCTAACCATTCATCTGTCTCTCCTGCAGCATGGCACTACACTCCTCATGGTCGCCTCTTACGCTGGCCACATTGACTGTGTGAGAGAACTGGTCCTGCAAGGAGCAGACATCAACCTCCAGAGAGAGGTAGGTCAGGTTGTACATTTCAACCAAGATAATCAGGCTAAGAGATCTGAAGTGTTTATAATAGTGAGTTGGTAGAGTCATCATTGCTTTTCTCCTTTACTGAAACTCATTGGAGAGTTTATTGCACCTATAAAATAAGATCCAAGCATGGACCATTGTCACATACATGTGAAATAATTGTATTTGTCCATTTTGTGCTGCAATTACAGACTGCCTGTTCCCAGGTACCTTACAACAAAATGTTTAAAGTGCTCACAGTTGGCAGGCTGAAAGTTCAAGGCCAGATGGCTCCACCTGTTTGGCCTCTGGTGAAGACCCCATTGGCTGCATTCCAACATGACAGAGAAGGCATAAGAGACCCAGAGATGCATGAAGAAGAGACCAAATATATGGCGTGGCCTCACTTGCTTGTGAGAAACAGCTCACACCATGAAACTAGCATTAATTTTTATGTAAGGCAGTATGTGCCAATAACATAATTGCCCCACATTTTAAAAGGCCCAACATTTCTACATCTTCACACTGAGAACCAGGCTTCCAGCATAGAAGCTTTTGGGAGACACACCCAAACCATATCCAATCCATAGCAGTGCCTACACCTCTTGCCACATTCCTTACAGACTCAGACATCTTGTCTCAAGCATAATTTAGTTCTTCCTCTTTCCCTTGAGATGAGATGCAACAAAATTTATAGGATTTTCATAGAACCCTGTTTTTAGTCACCAGTATACATGTGATGAAGCTCAGTTGCTAGGCATCTCAACTATCCTAACCAAGTACTTTTCTGCATGGCCTAAAGATCTCCCTAAAAATCCATGTGAGCAAATATTAGTTTTAAAATATAAACCTGTACTCATACTTACTTCATACTTCATTCAAGGATAATCATAAGAGTTTAGTCTTAAAGCCAGGTTTATAGGCAACAGTGATGGATCATGCTTATATCCTAGCTAATTAGGAGCCCGAGATACAAAGATCGAGGTTCAAAGCTAATCTGGGAAGACACACACACACACACACACACACACACACACACACACACACACACACACACACACACACACACACGATTATATTTATACAATGGAAGTCCAAACTCTAGAAGTTCCACATTTCATGTCTGTCTACTCACCACTATATGCCAAATAAAGAGATATAGTGAAGGGCAAAGAAAGGCGGTTTGTTAGGTTATAGTCACAGAAAAGAAAAGACACTTGTCTTCTGTTTAAATAGGGAAAATTAGGGGCAGGAGACGAGAAAGGTATGCATAGCTCAAACAGTCCCAAGTCACAGGAGTGGTTCAGGTGACGATTATCTCAAGCTTCATCCCTGGAGAAGATAACATTTTGCCACTTGAAGGAAGCAGGAACAAGTCAGTCACTGTTGTTGGCAGGGGGTCTGTCCGAACTTTTGGCCATTCTCTTTCTTTTTTTTAAATATATTTTTTTATTTTAAAGATACTGTACAGATGGGTTACAGTTACATGAGTAGGGTAATGAGTACATTTCCTATTGAGCATTGTTACCTGCTCCTTTGTTTTTCCCCTACCATCCCTTCCTTCCCCATCTCCCCAACTCCTCCCTCCCTGCCCAAGTTATAAAGTTTGTTTTCAACATAGTATCTTGTACATCTCATTGTTACAATGGGTCATCCTGTATCCTTATTTCAGCATTTTGTTATTTCCCTTCCCCTCCCCAAATTAGAAAAATGTATATACAAGATGTAGGACCTGGAATCAAATACAGTAACAACAGGGGTTGTACTATGGGGGACGAACATACAAAGAAACAAAAAAAATCACATAGTACATTATAAGTACATTAAAAAGAACAACAAGAAAGATAAAATCTCTTGTGTCCCTATCTTGGGGTTCATATCGCTTAACATCATCTTATAGCTTTTGACCTTTTATGCTTGTCTCAGACATATACTAGTTATTGTAGATGAGGGAAACCATGGGACCTATGTTTCTTTGAGTCTGCCTTACTTCACTTAATATAATTTTTTCCAAGTCTTTCCATTTCCTAACAAATGGGGTGGTGTCATTCTTTCTGATTAATGGATCAAGAAAATATGTATATATATATACATATGTATATATATAATCACATTTTCTTGTACATCTTGTCTTGGCAATTCTCTTTCTTTGGAACAGTTTTGCCTTTTGCCACAAGATGATAAGAAGTTGACATTGTCTGTCTGAGGGGCAGTTTGCCTTAGTCACAAGATGCTTGTGGTAAATCCTGTCTTTCTTGGAGTCCATCGTAATTGCAAAATGACTGCAGGAAAGAATGGCTCAGATCAAAGGGCACAGGTTCAAAGTGGGGGGGGGGGGGGGCGGGGAGAAGTGTCCAGCTTTTATCTTGCTTTTAGTAAATACATGGGCCCAGCTAAAGCATTTGCTAAAGTTGCTTCTCACAGTCTCACCTGAGGATCTATTGTTGGTCCAATCTGGAGAAGCAGAAGGGAGATGGGGCATGTCTTCAGGGTTCTGGTCTGAGGAGGTTCTGTATATTTCCAAGCCAACCTAGAATCAGGAGGCAGGTGGAGACATATGTTCCAGTCATCCCAAGAATAAACATAGCCTCTCTATTCACATCTGCATGCCTGGCAGACATCCTAGCCTGCTCCAAACCAGACTGGGCACTTTGTTTTCCTTGATCCAGCCTAATCTTAAAATCTGCCCTGGAGACCATATATCAACCAAACTTTCAGAAATCCAGCATACCTCATCCCTTTCAGTCAAGACCAAATAGAGCAAGTTAAGATAATCAGATCTGGGCTGGGAAGGTGGCTCAGTGGTAGAGTGCTTGCCTTGCATGCATGAGGCCCTGGGTTCGATTCCTCAGCACCACATAAGCAAAAAGAAAAAAGCCAGAAGTGGCGCTGTGGCTCAAGTGGTAGAGCGCTAGCCTTGAGCTGAAGAGCTGAGGGACAGCACCCAGGCCCAGAGTTCAGGCCCCACGACTGGACCAAAAAAAAAATTAAAAAATTAAAAAAAAAAAAAAAAAGATAATCAGATCTAAGGACTGTGTCAAAAGTTCCACGATGCATCTTGTCACCCCCTGCATGGTAAACCTTGACTAACAGAATGGGAGGTCTGGTTCTCCACAGCCCTAGTTCACTTGGTCTCTTGAGAAAGAACCATGTAGAGAAACTGCTACAAACTCAGTCTTCTCACAGGCTCTTTTGAGCAATTTGCACAAAAATAGATAGTTGTTTTAGGTCATTTTTTCATTTTATCAACTGAAGTAAAATTTCCCTCTGGGATGAAAATGGACACATTTAGAAATACAGTTTAAAATTAACCTATCTTTTTCTGCATTTGTTTTATAGTGCTTGTTTATTATAACTTTAAAGCAAAAACACAGATTTTTCTCTAATACAAACAATATCTGCCTACTAAAATCTTTATCCTAAAGGACAGGGCTAACATGCACAAAAAATCTCGAGAAAAGCAGGGAGAAGGAAGAAGCATTTGATTTCTAGCCAATGTATGGATTTTATGGGCTCAATGTTTGGTCCAAACTCTAGAAGTTCACATTTCATGTCTATCTACTCACTCCTATGTGCCAAATAAAGAGATATGGTGAAGGACAAAGAAAGGATTTTTGTTAGGTTACAGCCACAGAAAAGAAAAGACACTTGTCTGTTATTAAATAGGGAAAATTAGGGGCAGGAGATGAGAAAGGTATGCATAGTTCAAACAGTTCCAAGTCACAGGAGTGATTCACTTGACCATTATCTCAGTCTTCATGGAGAAATTAACGTTTTGCCACTTGAAAGGAGCAGGAACAAGTCAGTCATCTTGGAATTGAAAATGTGTACACTAAAAACAGCAACTCTTGAAGACTTACCAAAGTCCTCTCCATTTAGAGACAAACTGTGGCTCAGATGATGATGTTATGGTCAGTTACCAGCAGTCCCTTGAATTTCTGGAGTAAAAGAAATGTTAAACCAAAGGAAGACCCCAACCTCACACACCTATTTTGGAAGCTAATCCAAAGAACTTCTGAGTGCTTTGTAATGTACTCTTACAGCAGGCTTACATTTGGTTCATTGTTAAGCTAGCTAGCAGTATTATGATACTTGAAAAAGCACCTGTCTTCCTTGTCTTAACTTGGCTGCCTAGACACATAAACAAACTGGAAGCAGATAGTCTTCAAAGACCATGGTAAGAGAATCAGCGATCATCGCTGGTTAAAAACTCACAGGCACAGGAGTTAGTGTCAAGCCCTTCAGCAGTAAAACAAACAAACAAGCATTAAGACCATCATTCACATTCCAGACTGAAATCTAGATCATGTTGCCTATGGACTACTATACTCTTGTGCATGTTTGATAGCATATATGATCCCAAATTGGCTGAAACTGCTATCATTATAACTTCTAAATTTACTTAAATATCTTACTGAAAAAAAGACAACTTAGGCAATGGCTCATGTCTGTTATCTTTGCTATTTGGAGACTGAGATCAAGAAAATCACATTCTACTAAATATATTAATTTTCTGTGATGATTATAAACTGATCACCCCAAAGATGATAACTTAAAACAACAGGAATTTTCCAGATGTCAGTGGTTCTTACCTGATTTCCTAGCTTCTTAGGAGGCTGAGATCTGGAGGACTGCAGTTCAAAACTGGCCTGGAAAGAAAATTCATTAGATTCCATCTCCAAAATAATCAGCAAGAAGTGGGGGCTACGTGTTCCTGGATTGGAAAGATCAACATTGTGAAAATGGCAATACTTCCTGAGGCTATCTACAAATTCAATGTGATACCTATCAATATTCTATCCTCATTCTTCAAGGAAATAGAAGAGGCAATCCAAAAATTCATATGGAACAATAAAAGACCTCAAATAGCTAAAATGATCCTCAACAGAAAGAACAGTGCTGGAGGAATATCAATACCAAATTTCAAACTCTACTACAAAGCCATAGTAATCAAAACAGCTTGGTACTGGCACAAGAACAGACCTCAGGACCAATGGAATAGAATTGAAAACCCAGAAATGAACCTACAGCCCTATAGCCATCTAATTTTTGATAAGGGAGCTAAAAAAATAGAATGGAAGAAAGACAGCCTCTTCAGTAAATGGTGCTGCCAAAATTGGTTAACTACTTGTAGAAAACTAAAGCTAGATCCTTATATATCACCCTGCACCAGAATCAACTCCAAATGGATCAAAGACCTTGGAGTCAAAGCAGACACCCTGAAAACATTACAGGATGGAATAGGAGAAACCCTAGGACTCCTTGGCACAGTCCAAAATTTTCTTAATAGAGACCCAGAAACACAACAAATCAAAGAAAGGTTGGACAAATGGGATTGCATGAAATTGCAGAGCTTCTGCATGGCAAAGGACATAGCTAGCAAGATCAATAGAAAGCCCACGGATTGGGAGAAGATCTTCACTAGCCATACAACAGACAAGAGTCTCATATCTAAAATATACCTGGAACTCAAAAAATTAAATCCCCCAACAACATATCTTCAAAGAAACAACTGCCCAATAAATAAGTGGGCTAAAGACTTAAAGAGAAACTTCTCTGAAGAGGAAAGAAGGATGGCCAATAGACACATGAAGAAATGCTCAACCTCTCTAGCCATAAAAGAAATGCAAATCAAAACAACATTGAGATACCACCTCACCCCAGTTAGATTGGCTATAATCAAGAACTCTAATAACAACAGATGCTGGAGGGGATGTGGACAGAAGGGAACCTTACTGCATTGTTGGTGGGAGTGTAAACTTGTTCAACCACTTTGGAAAGCAGTATCAAGTTTCCTCAAAAGACTCCACATACAGCTCCCCTATGACCCAGCAATCCCACTTTTGGGAATTTACCCAAATGATCACAAACAAGGCCACACTAAAGCTACCAGCACGACTATGTTTATTGCAGCATTATTTACCATAGCTAAGATATGGAACCAACCCAGATGCCCCTCAGTAGATGAATGGATCAAGAAAATGTGGTATATATACACAATGGAATTCTCTGCCTCCATCAGAAAGAATGACATTGCCCCATTTGTTAGGAAATGGAAAGACTTGAAAAAAATTATATTAAGTGAAGTAAGCCAGGCCCAAAGAAACTTAGGTCCCGTGGTTTCCCTTATTTGCAATAACTAGTATATGTATGAGTCAAGCAGAAAAGGTCAGATAAGTTGATGTTAGGGAAATGAACCCTAAGATATATATTCAAATGTATTTTTCTTTCAAGTGATTGTTTCTAACACATTTATAAGATGATTTCTTTGTTGCTTTGTATGTCCCTCCCCGACAGTGTAACCCCTGCTTTCACTGTATTTGAGGTTGGTATAATTTGTGGAGGGGAAGGGAAAAAACAAATAGTTTAAATAGGGATACAGGTGGATCCATTGCAACAATGAGATGTACAATTCGTTATGTCGAAACGAACTTTGGTGGGGGGGGGAAGGAGGATTGGGGGGGGAGGGCAGGGGGAGGATGGGAAGGGATGGGAAGGGGAAACAAAGGAGGAGGTAACAATGCTGGATAAGAAATGTACTCATTATCTTGCCCATGTAATTGTTACCCCTCTTTTCAGTATTTTCACAATAAAAAAAAGCAAAAAAAAAAAAAGAACTTCATGGAAAACAAAAAAGAAGTGGGGGCTAGAGGTGTGGCTTAGATGGTAGTGCGCCAGCCTAGCAAACTTGAAGCCCTGAGTAAGTAGTGACAAAAAAAAGCAACAGAAATTTATTCTCTTGAATTCTAAAGGCATTGTGGGTCGGGCCGCGGTCTCTGTGGGCTTCAGAGGAGAATCCATTCTTTGCCTCTTCCAGTATAGCAACATTCCGTAGCTTGTGACCATAGCACTCCAAATATCCTCTCACTTCTTTTATAGCTATTGTTTTCATTGTAGTAAAATTCACTGCATAAAATATACTAGTTTAGCCATTGTAAGAACACAGTTCAATGACATGCATATATATATATATATATATATGGACATATACATACATACATATATATTCATAGTCTATACAACCAACACCATCATCCAGCTAGGAAAACTGAAAGTAGGGCCAGGAATGTAGCTCAGGGGCAGAGCAATGTGTAAGGCCCAAGTTCAATTCCTAGCAGTGTGAAAACAAAATAAAAAACTGAAAGTCTGTACCCACTGAGCAATAACTACTATTCACCTTCCCCCAACCCTAGCAACCATCATCCTACTTTCTGGCTTTATGAGTTTGATTAGTTAACACAGTAGCATCCACCATTCTTTTTCTAACATTATTTTTGACACATTTGATGCAACGAGTCTTCAAGATTCATCTGTTGTGGTCTATGTCAGAATTTCCTTGTTTTTCAGGTTAAATAATATTCTATTGTATCAGTATGCCACATTGTGCTTATCCATTCATCCATAGTTCAGTAATTCAATTGCTTTGCTTCCACATTTTAGCTGTTATGAATGAAATGTTTTATCCTTGTTGGCGGTACAGGGTTTGAACTCAAGGCCTCACACTTGCAAGACAGGTGCTCTACCACTGACCCATGCTGCCTACAGCCCATTTTTTGTTATTGTTGGCATTTTGCTTAGGAAGATTGTAAGGAGGGTTTTTATATTTGTTTTTGCACTTATTATTTGGAGGAGGTTCCTCAAAAGACTCCACATAGAGCTCCCCTATGACCCAGCAATCCCACTTTTGGGCATTTACCCAAACAATCACAAACAAGGCCCTACTAAGGCTATCAGCACAACTATGTTTATTGCAGCATTATTCACCATAGCTAAGATATGGAACCAACCCAGATGCCCCTCAGTAGATGAATGGATCAAGAAAATGTGGTATATATACACAATGGAATTCTCTGCCTCCATCAGAAAGAATGACACCGCCCCATTTGTTAGGAAATGGAAAGACTTGGAAAAAATTATATTAAGTGAAGTAAGCCAGGCCCCCAAAAAACGTAGGTCCCCTGGTTTCCCTTATTTGCAATACCTAGTACATGTGTAGGACAAGCAGAAAAGGCCAAAAGCTATGTACATATGACCATATAAGATGATGTTAAGTGAAATGAACCCAAGATAGGAACACAAGTATCTTTTTTTTTCTTGCTATTGTTTCTAACGTATTTGGGGAAACGTTCTCTCTTCTTGCCCAGGACATGCCTGGACCACAGCCTGCCCTCTTTATATTCCTGTTGAAGCAGGAATGACAAGTGCATGCCACCACACTTCTATTGTGATGGATTCTTTTTATTTTATTTTATTTTATTGTATAGATGCTGTACAGAGGGGTTACAGTTATATGAGTAAGATAATGAATGCATTTCTTGTCCAGCATTGTTATCCCTTTGTGATGGATTCTTGTGGACATTTTTGTCCAAGCTGGTCTCACTGAGATCCTTCTGATCTCAGTGTCGTGAGTGCCTAGGGTTATGAGCATGAACCACTAGCACCTGGCTACTCACTCTTTTATATTTTTCTTATTTGTTTTCTTTTGGGGTTTGTTGTTGGCTTTGTTTTGTTTTGGGGGAAAGTCACATTCTATAGCTCAGGCTATCTTGGAACTTGTGATTGTAATTCTATGCCTTCCTCCTCATCCTCCTCCTTTTCTACCTCCTCTTCCTTTTTCCTCTTTTATAGTATTGGAGTTTGAACTCAGGGTCTTGCTCTTGTATGGCAGGCACTCTACCACTTGAGCCACTCTGCCAGATCTTTTTGCTTTAGTTATTTTGTTGTATTTTTTTTGCCAGTCACGGGGCTTGAACTCAGATCCTGAGCACTGTCCCTGAGCTTCTTTTGCTCAAGGTTAGTACTCTACCACTTGGAGCTATAGCACTACTTCAAGTATTTTCTGTGTATATGGTACTGAGGAATCAAACCCAATGCTTCATGCATGCTAGGCAAACACTCTACCACTGAGCCACATTCTTTGCCTCTTTAGTTACTTGTTTTAAAACAGTCTCACATTTATGCCTGGTCCAACGTGGTCCACCATCCTTCTTTACTCTTCAAATGCATGCCACCATGCCCACCTTTAATTGATTGAGATAGGTGTCTTGAAAAAACGTTTTCCTCAGACTGACCTCAAACTTTGGTCCTTTCAATCTCTTCCTCCCAGGTAGCATAATTACAGGGATGAGCCACCATGCACAGCTGTTTTTCCACTCTTTGGGGGAGGGGAAGTATTAGGGTTTAAAGTCAGGGTCTTGAACTTACTGTGGACTGAGCCACTTCCCAATCCCCCCCCCCCCCGCCATACACACACACTTTGGGGGGGGGCATTGAACTGTAATCCTCTGATCTCTACTTCCCATGTAGCTAGGATTATAAGTAGAGCCAATGGGAACTGACCTCTTTTCTAGCTCTTGTATCAACACTTGTCACTGGATTTAGGATTCACCCAGGTAACCTAGGATAAGCTCCTAGGCTTAGAGTCTATAACTTAATCATATCTTTTGCCATATAAGCTGACAGTCACAAATTCCTGGAATTAGGTGGAGTCTATCTTTGGCGCCACCATTTAGCCTATTATACCATTAATAATTATTTCATTTTATTTTGTCACTCCCCTGGGGTGGCCAAGAAATAGAATCAAATCAAATATAGCTCTTCCTAGGCTAAAAGATGTGTGTGCAGGGGCAGGGAAGATATAGTTTTTTGTTCCTTGCAAATGTGTAAATCAAATATAATTTATTTACATGTCTATTAAAGCCAGCCTCTCTCTCTCTTTCTCCCCCTCTCCCCCAGTCAGGTACAACTGCCCTGTTCTTTGCTGCTCAGCAAGGCCACAATGAAGTCGTGAGATTTCTCTTTGGATTTGGAGCATCCACTGAATGTAGAACCAAAGTAAGAGAGCCTTCTTGATTTCATACTTTGTCAGAGGACCTTAGCAGTCATAGATCTTTATTCTGCCCTTAACTGTAACTACAAACTTGTACTTCCTTTTCTGTAAGATTCCCAAACTGAGGGAGGGGGTTTTACAACCTTATGGTAGGGGTTCAAGGCTTGTTCTAGTGATTCTATTCCAAACATTAACTTTTTCTCTGGAGTAAACTTGGAGATTTTCCAAAAGAGTTACTTAGACCTTTTCTTGCACTGTTTGCTTTCTCTCTGCTACACTAAATTTTAAACCAGGAGGGATACAGTGGAAGATGCCTGTCTAACTCTCCCTGTTTCTATGGGCTTTATTCTATCTCAAGATTAATCTCTGAGGCAGGTGCTGGTAGCTGATGCTTTTAATCCTAGCTACTTGAGAGGCTGAGAACTAAGGATTGAAGTTCAAAGCCATCCTTAGTAGCAAAGTCAATGAAAGGCTATGTACTCTCCAATAAATTACTCAGAAAGGCCAGTTGTGGCACTGTGGCTCAAGTGACAGAGCACTAACCTTGAGCCAGAGAAGTTCAGGGACAGGGCCTAGGACCCTCGTGTGTGCGCATGCGTGGGCACACACACACACACACACACACACACACACACACACACACACACACACACACACACACACACAGATTAACCTCAGTACTATAATAGGAATTATTATTGGCAGGAAGCTGGCTTTTGTGGGTTTTCTCATGAAATAAACAATACATAATTAAAACATATAGCTCAGCAAGAAGTTGTGGTTCTTTATTTAAATAAGTTCCTGATTTTCATTTTTGACTTACAAGTAAGAAAATTGAGATTGCAAAAAGATCACTTTTGTGTTCACAATATGTTTTTCATTGTTAGCCATTTCTGATCTGCAAATAAGTTAAAATATTTGAAAATCTGCTCAAGTTGGAAACCTTTCAGTTTTTATTTTAATCTATTGATATTTAGATACCGAGTGGGGAGGGTGATTCCAGTGGATTTTTTTTCCTGTTAAAATGATGCTATTAAATAGATCTGAATTTCATGTAAGAGTTCTATCTTTTCCAAAACCTGCAGTTGTACTGTGTGTATGCCCTTAAACATATAGTAACACAAGATAAGTTATTTTCTATTCAATGTCATTTTTATTTCTTATTATCAATGCAATACAACTCAAAACAGAAAGTTCTTTAAACTTATATCTCGCCGGGCGCTGGTGGCTCACGCCTATAATCCTAGCTACTCAGGAGGCTGAGATCTGAGGATCGTGGTTCAAAGCCAGCCTGGGCAGGAGAGACCGTGAGACTCCGATCTCCAATAAACCACCAGAAAACTGGAAGTGGTGCTGTAGCTCAAGTGGTAGAGCGATCGCCTTGAGCTGAAGAGCTGAGGGACAGCGCCCAGGCCCAGAGTTCAAGCCACACGACCGACAAAAAAAAATAAACTTATATCTCAACAAAGTCCATATATCTGTACCTATATCTGAACCAAGTCAAAATGCTCATGTATGACTGAATATTATTCCAGTCTTTGTTTTGGTTAGCAAGTCAACACTTGCTTAAAGCCTTTATACATGAACCACTCTGTGCTGTTGCAGAAACCTGCAGAACACAGAGGCCTAGAGGAGAAGTTCCATGTGTTTCCATGAGGCCAACTGCAGGTGTCTAAGAGCTTTCCCTGGGAAGAAGAATGTCAAGAGATTATAGTATAAATGTATTGCCAAAAGTGATTTTATTTCAATAACTGTTCTCTTCCTTATACAGCTATACAAATAATAATCTACAAATGTGTTTTTAAAAATCAAAAGAGCCAGCACCAATGTACCACCTGTAAACCTAGCTAATCAAGAAACTGAGCTCTGAGGCCCATGATTTAAAGCCAGCCTGGTCAGGAAAGTCTGTGAGACTCTTATCTCCAATTAACCACCAAAAAGCCACAGGTGGAGCTGTGGCTCAAGTGGTAAAAGAAGCCAAAACAAAACAAAACCTCAGTCCCTGAGTTCAAGTCCCAGGACTAGTGTGTTTTCTCTCTCTTCCTCTCTTCTTCTCTCTCTCTCTCTCCCTCTCTCTCTCCCTCTCCCTCTTTTTTTCTCTCTCAAAGAGATCAGTTCTTTTTATCATAATTATTATATTTTACTATTCTTTTGCCACATGATGCAAAGATATGGGGACATTCAAGGGACAGAGCTTGAAAACAGGGCAGCTCATTGGTGGTATTAAGCAGTTTCTCAATGTTCCCATACCACCACCATCTTCAACAACTTCAGCCTTCCTCCTGTCTCCTTTCTGTTTCTTTCCCTTTAAGCACCCTTTCCAACCACACAGCCCATCCCTTATCCCCCAGGATATTGCCTGTGCATGATCATAGGAGCTCTTATAGCACAGTTTCTACAGGTGAGGCTACCTGCCATCTGCCTATCAGTCATTCCACATGACAGAACTTCACCTTAGGCCTAGTAGATCAGAACTCTCTTCTAGCAAAAACCCTATGTCCAAATTTAGAAGCCACACAGCCATATTAATGATTTGCAGTTTTGAACCAGATTGCATGTTCTCAAATTATTTATTATTAACTTAAGTGTCCACAGAGCCAAACAACTCAACAATCCTAGATGGGAAAAGATAATGTCTTACCAGTACCACCTGAGAAAATCCATTAATGGTTTTCATTGACCACAAACTCAATGAGTCAGTAGTGTGATGTGGTTGACATAAGAACTAATTCTAATTTAAGCTATAGAGATAAAAGTAGAGTGGATGAAACACCTGCTTTACAGTGCAATGCTGAGTTTAGGCCCCAAACTTTAAAAGAGACCTGGGAAAATTGGCATATGTTCAAAGGAAAACACTAAGCAGGAACGTGAGAGACACATGAAATATACTATCATGTGCTGTTCTAATGGAGGCAGAGGTTGTCTCATGAAAGCAATAGCCCCAAAGGGTCACCCCATCAAAGCACCTTAGACTCAGTGGCTTCTAACCAGGTACACTATAGACAGAAGCCCATGTTTGTTAAGGGAGTCTCTGGCCAGAAGCCTTGAGAGGTTCTTCTGGTATTTCTAAGGCAGAACTGACAAAAATGGTACAGACTTTCTATCCTATGATTCCTGAATAGATGATTCTGCATTTGGCATGAGAAACTTCTAAATCATAATAACTTGGTGAAATAACTTTATCTCTGAATAAGTCATCCAAGTTTACAACATCATTTCTCATCGTTAAGGTGAATCCTATCAAAATTGTTGGGGTCGGTGGCTGGCTAATGTTGGCACTGCTGCCATTTTTCAGTCCAACATTACGGTTTTGGCAAAAAGACTCAGCCAGCCAAAGGCAATTACAGAAGAATAATTTATTGTAGGAATAAACTAAACAGAGTAAAGTGCACGAGTCTCTGTGTCTGGGTGCCTGTTTCTCCATGTGTCCACATGTGTACCTCTTTCTGCACATATGTCGATCTGTCCCTCTGTCCACAGTCCACATACGTGCTTTCCCTCCTCGCTTTTTTTTTCTGGGGACCAGTTTCCTGTCTTACATAGCAGGAGAACAAAAGAGGCTTAGTGCCAAGTCCTGGGGCATGTTAGGCTGGCATTACATAACCCTTTTTCTGTAAGCCTGGGCCCCTAACTTATGACCTTTCGTCACCTTTAGGATGCATAGGTGTGAATTTTTATGTGCTCCCCTGCAATCATTATAAAAGGAAAAGGGGAAAAAAGGAAAGCGAGTGTCTTCCAATGTTCTGTATGAGGAGCTTCTGCTTGAGCTGTCTCTAATGTGTTTATATATTCATGTGCATAGGATGGAGGCACTGCCCTGTTGGCTGCCAGTCAGTATGGGCACAGACAGGTGGTGGAGACATTACTGAAGCACGGAGCCAACATCCATGACCAACTTTATGTGAGTGCTTGCTAAGGGATGTCCAGTGGATACCTGCTCCTTCCTTTATCATGTATTACACTGCAGTCTAAATTCAGATGTCAGATAAGCCAGCTTCAAAAAATATCATAATGAACAGTGGGACTCTAATCTTAGACACTAAAAGGAAAAAAGAATAGCTCATCTGTTGAGCTTATTCTGTCACATTCCAGCTACCTGCTCAATTAACATCTTCAAACATACCATGCATATGTACTCATGCCGCATGGCATATGGACTTGTCAAAAAGCAAAATATACTGACCTGTTGTATTTGTGTGGAAGGGCATGAAGAGAAGAACCCAATATATTTGAAAGATAAGCAAGGTAGATGGATGAAGACCCATGAAAAGAACATGCTCTATTGATCTTTGACGGCCATCTGCTGCTAGCCCAGGTCTATTTCCAGCTAATTGGCAATTAGCACATTATGTAAGGACTCTTGTCATGGTAATTCTATAGGATTTATGACAAGTGTTGTTCTGATTTTGTAGGAAAAAAAAGAAAATATGGGATATGAAGTGATTTGACAGAGTCTCAAGGAGACAAATTATCTAGGAAACTATTTTAGGTCACACCACAAGTAAGTAGGCATTTAACCCTTATGCCTCAGGCACTAAACTTTCATAGTCAGGTAATGAGCTATGTAGGTGTGAATGTCTCCATTTGAATATCCTTTTTAGAGTTTACCTAGTTAACTCTGACAAATCACAGGCCACTTTGAAGTCTACAGCAAGTAGCCTTACCCTCTGGTGCTTTCCTCAACATCTGTAACACTTTCTGAACCTGCAGCATTACTGTGGAATGTTTGGATTACTTGATAATGATCTAAAGAAGTGTTTCTCAACCCTGGATGCCCATTACAGTCCTGGGGAGCTTTTAGAAATACTCGTTTTTTCTAGAACTGATTCCAGGACAACCAAACCAGTCTCTGGAGTCACAACTGAAGCAACAGGTGGTTCTGACATATGGCCATGTCTAAGAAATGTAAATCTAAAGCTTTGGCTATAGACTTCTCTATGTGTCTATCAGTGAAGTGTAGCTAAGGGTGTATCCTAGTTTATGTAGCCAAAGGCTTTGGAAAGGGAAAGTGGATGGTGATTTTTCAGAGCTTGACCACTCATAATCATCAATCCAATTTGAGTGTGGATGTAGAATTAGTGTACAGATAATACTCTGACAGAACATTCTTGGGGTGGTACAATATCTTAGAACTGAATTTGTGGGGTACCTTGCTCCTAGTACATTTTTCTTTGTTAATAATGTTGGTCAGGAAATTTCATGCACCATAACTTCCACACTTACCTTTACCCAGATAGTCCAAATGCTCCCATTAAAAACAGCTGAAGATGGGCTGGGAAGGTGGCTCAGTGGTAGAGCGCTTGCCTTGCATGCCTGAGGCCCTGGGTTCGATTCCTCAGCACCACATAAGCAAAAATTTAAAAAAAAGCCGGAAGTGGCGCTGTGGCTCAAGTGGTAGAGTGCTAGCCTTGAGCTGAAGAGCTGAGGGACAGCGCCCATGCCCAGAGTTCAGGCCCCATGACCGGACCCAAAAAAAAAAAAAAAAAAAACAGCTGAAGAGTTGGGCACTGGTGGCTCATACCTGTAATCCTAGCTACTCAGGAGGCTGAGATCTGAGGATCACAGTTCAAAACCAGCCCAGGCAGGAAAGTCTGTGAGACTCTTATCTCCAATTAACCACCAGAAAACTGCAAGTGGTACTGTGGCTCAAGTGGTGGAGTGCTAGCCTTGAGCTGAAGAGCTCAGGAATAGCACCTAGGCCCAGGGTTCAAGCCCCACAACTGACCCCCCACCCCCCCCCCAAAAAAAACAGCTGAAGAAAACTAACTTTAAAAAGTAACTAAATAAAAAATGAACAATTAGAATATGGGGACAGGGACAGAGATCAAGGATTCCTGAAACCTTCTAGAACTGAAACTTGTGGTGCATAATGAAAATCCAGTATACCGTCCAGTTCAGAAAATTCCCAAGTTAGCAACTGTGGAGGGCATGGTAGAATTTTATGACAATGCATTAAGAAGCAGCTGAATATTATTTTATCCCAGTATCAAATTGTCAAGAACAAACTATGTCAGAAATATAGATGGGAATGCTGTGTTTTTCCACAATGGCAGAATTTATTGAATAACAAATTCATGAGCTATGTCAATTTCCTTGGTGTTAATTTACCAAGTATCACTGATAGTTGAGGCCATGGACAACAAAAGTTCTTTTCTTCAATCTCAATTGCTAATATTGACTGTCAAATCACACATCACACTTCACACTAATTTAGAGGTTACAGAAAGGGTTAAAGCATCAACCACAAGGTTCAAAGCTAGAGCTGAAAGTGGAGACAGATACGAAGAGAGTTACTGCAGGTGGTTAGGTAAGATATTGGTAAGACAGCGATTGAGGCCTGATGGTGACAAAATACAGAGTTCCTCCTGGCTGCCTTGCTGATTCTAGATGCAGAGCTGTTTTTCAGGTACAGAATTGATATGGCTTACTGCATCCAAAATTTGAGTGGGTCACATCAAGCAGGGGAGTGCAGCTGAATTGAAGTGATAGGGACAGAGTTAGGGATTCTTCACCTATTAATCCTTGCCACACACACCAGATAGCCAGATGGCAGGTGAGCCTGCCCTCCCTGTCCTATTGCTAAGTATGATTCAGCTGTAGGAGTGTTATCTATCCTGGGTCTGGTGTGCTTGAGACTTCAGGGGAGTGGTTATCTTGATATAGGTTGATATGCCCACTCATCCAGATTTTTTTTATCTAATTTGATAAGTTTACTGCCGTTAACATTTTATTTGCTGTAAACAAGATGTAGGGTAATTCTGTTTTGGCTCTCACATTCAAAATGGAGTAGCTTAGGTCAAAACTATGGCTTTCTAAAAAGAGTAAGTCAAGGCTAGACCAAGCCCTTAAAGCTGTTCTTTATATGACATAGAGTAACCCAGAACAGGCCCAATCTATTCTCTTCACAAACATCTGCTTAAAAATCTGTACAGGTTGTTTAATTTTTTTTTTTATTATTGCCTTAAGGCCCATCTGGCAGCACAGCTGACATCGTCGGCAATCCAGTACCTCACCTGTGACACATCTGGTTAGACTTGAAGGAAAGCTGGTGTGTGTTAGCTTGTGGTTAGCATTCCCACCTGGAGGAGTGGTAATGAACTGTGTTGTCTGAGTGTTTTCTACTAGGAGGAGCTCTGTTAAGAAACAATGAAACCTGAGCTTCTCTGTGTGAAACAGGCACCCAGGAAAATACATATGCTCAGCCAACCCATTTACTGAAATAATCTGACAATATAATTCTTTTTTTTTTTTTTTTTTTGTCAGTCGTGGGGCCTGAACTCTGGGCCTGAGCACTGTCCCTGAGCTCTTCAGCTCAAGGCTAGCACTCTATCATTTGAGCCACAGCACCACTTCTGGCTTTTTCTGCTTATGTGGTGCTAAGGAATCGAACCCAGGGCCTCATGCGTGCAAGGCAAACACTCTACCACTGAGCCACCTTCCCAGCTCTGACAATATGGTTCTAAGAACAACAACAACAAAACAGAAATCATAGACACTCAGTTGAAAACTCAAGCCAGCATTGGTGGCTCATGCCCATAACCCTAGCTATTTAGGAAGCTGAGATCTGAGGGCAGGAAAGTCTGTGAGACTCTTATCTCCAATTAACTAACAAAAAAAAAGCCAGAAGTAGAGTGGCGGCTCAAGTAGTAGAGCTCTAGCCCTGAACAAAAGAAGCTCAGAGATAGCACCGAGGCCACGAGTTTAAGCCCCAGGAATAGCAAGAAAATTGGAGCACTCATTAGATCATGGACAGGACTGACTTTTATATTTATAGCTATTATTAGTGTCTGTTGAACTGTCAGGAAGCAACTTTGTAGAGATTCTTTCTAAGGAGGGTTTTCTGAAAACAGTTCTGGGAATCAACCAATCCTAGGGTTTTGCTCCTCTAGTTAGGCAAGCACTGTAGCACTAAGCTATACCCAGCCCATCGTGCCTTTTAATACTTCAAGAAACTGCATGTTGAGGGAGAGGGGACATGGATAAGAGAGCAAGAAAGAGCAAATTAGAAATGAATTTGAAAGGCCCCCGCTCATAAAAATACATGAAATAGGTTTGAATATTTGTCAATTTAACCCTTAACCTCATAACTGACAAAAGGTTAGAAAAGGAAAATTGTATAAATGCATGCATTTGGAGCTCTTAATTTCTTTTAAATAAATACGAAACTTGATTCTTTTTTTGAACACTTTTTAATCTGTTATCTCTCAGGATGGAGCCACTGCCCTCTTCTTAGCCGCCCAAGGTGGTTACTTGGATGTTATTCGATTATTGTTGTCTTCAGGAGCAAAAGTCAACCAGCCAAGGCAGGTAATGTCCACGAGGGAAGCTTGCCACAGTGTGTACATACGAGGCAGGGAGGGCCAGGTGTCCCCGAGCAGCACATACCTGAGATAACTGGTAGCTCTAGGCATTCTTTAAATCCTTTTGCCCTGTAATAAAAAAGTTAATCTTTGATTTAGATTTCAACTATTCTATGCTTCTGACTTGCCTAACAGCCTATGAAAACAAGCTGACATCACAATTGAAAGCTTTCAAAACTGGAGTGTTTAGTGTCTGAGGTCAAGTACACATTCTGCCACCTCCTGTTCAAATAAATCATGGCTGCACTGAAGTAGAGTGTTGGCTGGCCTGTGCAGAGGTAAATAGAGGCAATGCCCTTGTGTGGTCCCTCTGCTGATATGCTATGTTATCTCCTTACCTACCTTTCTTGCTGAGCCCAAGAGGAGCTCATGCCTGTCTAGAATCATGAGTAGGTTTGCTCACCCCCTTCTTTTCTTACAAATTATAGGTTATGGAGACTTCATTTACCAATATCTGGTAATTCACTTAACAACACAGAAATGCAAAATAACACTGGCAGCACCTTATAAATGGTAAAGAACCCACCAAACAGAAGGGAGCATAATTAGCTATTCTATATGACCTAGTTGTGCCCAGTCTTTAATTAATTAATCTTTAATTAGTCTTTAACAAAACATTTCAGATTAGGAACCACTTTTACAAAGGTAAAGTTTTTTTAAATATTTTTACTAGCTTTAAGTAGTTATACAAAGAAGTTGCCCTTCAACAAAGCAATTTGTGACTGTAGTGCCTCTTGATTGATGTCACCCCTTTCAACATTCTCACCCACCCTTTCCAACCCATTCCTTCCCTCGCTTTTCTTAGTTTTTAGATTGTTTATTGAGGGGTTTTTGCCATTTAACAAAGCAGTTTAAGCTGGACACCAGTAGCTCACGCCTATAATCCTCACTACTCAGGAAGCTGAGATCTAAGGATCATGGTTCAAAGCCAGCCTGGGCAAGAAAGTCCATGAGACTCTTATCTCTAATAAACCACTAGAAAACTGGAAGTGGTGCTGTGGCTCAAGTGGTAGAGCACTTACCTTGAGCTGAAGAGCTCAGGGATAACACCCAGGCCCAGAGTTCAAGCCCCACGACCAACAACAACAACAACAAAAAGTTTATACAATGCATCTTGATCTGTGTCATCCCTTTAGCATCTTCACCCTCTGTCGATGCACCCCTTCCCTTGCTTTTCTCAATTCTGTGGTATATACATTCCTGCCTGCATTCTACTCCTTTCCCCCTTCATTCTTCTACTCCTCTTTCCTTGCCCCCCACTCCTCTTGCAAGTACCTATATCCTGGTACTTATTTTGTTGAGCTTTGACTTAATCTTTCTAAAAAATTAAACTATTTGCTGGGCTAAGAAGGTGGCTCAGTGGTAAAAGTGCTTGCCTTGCATGTATGAGGCCAAGGGTTCGATTCCTCAGCACCACATAAGCAGAAAAAAGTCAGAAGTAGTGCTGTGGCTCAAGTGGTAGGGCACTAGCCTTGAGCTGAAGAGCTCAGGGACAGCGCCCAGGCCCAGATTACAGGTACCATGACGGACAAAAAAAAAAAAAAAGAATTATACTATTTGCACTCTCCATAGAGCCATTAATTCATTTATAACTGCTTGCCTACCACCCATAGATAGGCACATTCTAGCTACCACAAATGACAAAGGTAGTTGGTGTTGTTTTAAGGGAAAAGTCAAGCTCATTTCTTTCTAGTAATTACCATCAAGCAGGCTTCCACTGTAATTGACTGGTAAGGGAATGCTGGGATATGTATAGAATTCATAGGAACAGGGCCTTCATGTTGGTCTGAGATGCAGGCCATAGGCTTCTTGGGTTCTCAGAAGCGAAAGCCCTGCTGAACCTTTGGGTAGGGCAGGTTTAAGTCAAGAATTCACAATTTTAAAATCAACTCTGCCAATAACTAGCCATGTGGTTTTGACAAGCTAATCAACTTCTCTGGACTTTCATCTCAAAATCAAGAGGCTGGGAAAAATGAGCCTGATAGTCTCTTCAAACTCCCAGAGTTTTAGCATTTGTTTTTATTAAACTTTCAGTTAGTATTTCCCACATCGTGCCCGTGCTGCTACTAACGTCAGACTTTATTTTTAGAATTTTAAAGATCTTATTAGTTCTAGAGGGCCTCAGAAACTCTTTGGGGAAAAAGAGTAGTTTAGAGAGAGTTATACTGTCCAGCCTGCCTAAGCTGATATTTGAGAGTTACAGTTTAATATTTCCTTGTCAGTTCTTATTAGTTTGAAACTGGTGATTGCTTCTGAATCAGAGACTTGGATTTACCAAATTAAAGACATGGATGGGTATTAAATTGCATAAGTTTGTTTTGGAAGCCATTATCAAAGGTACCTCTGTGAATCTAGACAGGAAATGGTTAAGATTATCAAGTCTCTGTCAGTACATGCTTCCAACATAACTTCTGGCACTTTTTGACAAATCAGGTTGTAAAATAGATTTAGTATTCACCTGCCTAAAGCTCTGTTTATAAAAAAATAAAATCACCCAATTTGATATGGGACAGTATTTCAAATAGTGCATGGGTTATATACACTTGAATCTAAACTGAGTCATGTGTTGACGTTGAAGCCAACAAGGTAAAGGGTAGAGCAACACTGCAGTGGTAACCATAACACACGTTGGCTGTTTTCCTTCTTCCACACGGAGGAGAATAACCCAGTCAGAGTGGATGACCTGGCCTGTGAGTGTCAGAGCCCAACCCAGGTTAAAGGGGCAGGTGATACACCCTTCCACAGGCACAGGCAACTACCTTATGATAGTTTCAAACTGGGGAGTCCAGCTCAGAAAAGGCTTTCATTCAGGAAACATGTGTTTCATAACATTGGAATTGCTTTGGAAGACAAAAAGCAGCTGGGCACCAGTGGCTCACATCTATAATCCTAGCTACTCTGGAGCTCTGAGGATTATAGTTCAAAGCCAGCCCTGGTACTACTGAACTACCAAAAAACACTAAAGTAGAGCTGTGGGTCAAATGATACAATGCTAGCTTTGAGCAGAAGAAACTCAGGGACTATGCCCAGGCCCTGAGTTCAAGACCTAGGACAGACACCAAAAAGAAAGAAAAAATAGCAATAAAACATTCCCATTTTATACAGTACACTCACCCATTGTGCTCCCAAATCATAATCATTTTTACTACCTTTCTGTGAGTCTATAACTAGAGGCTTTTATCTAACAGGGAAGACAGGTTCACCTTCCCCCTTCTCTGAAAGTATACCCCTGCCGACTTCACTCTGCTTAAGAAAACAAATGATGTCACAAATATGACCAAGGTGATACCAGCCCTGGATATCTATCTCAGTTGACATAATGGGTCATTCCCAAAAACTGCGTAAGATTATAAATAAGGACAAGCATAGGCTCCTAATTATTTATAAATCTGATTTATAATTATTGCACTGACCTATAAAATTCTGACATTTGATGACATGTTGTGACAGGGTATTAATAAAGTTGCAGTGAAATTACTCAGCTGGGGCTGGAGGCATGACTCAAGAGGTAGAGCAAGCTCCAGTTCAAACCCACGTACGAAAAAAAGAAAGAAAGAAAGAAAAGAAGGAAGGAAGGAAAGAAGGAATGGAGGAAAGGAAGGAAGGAAGGAAGGAAAGAAGGAAGGGAGAAAAGGAAGGAAGGAAGGAAGGAACCACTCAGCTGATATTTGATCTGAGCTGCAGTACAATGCCTTTTCTTTGTAACTCTATCACTGAGAACTTAGTGGAGATATTTTTGATATCTATACTGAGGAATCACAATCACAAAGCCAGGTACAGTCAGACATTGGCTTCTCCTTTCCACATTGTCTTTGGCAAATAGGTCAACAGTCAGAATCACTGAACTTCAGAGTCATTCCAAAAGCCTGTTTTATTTTCTTGTATCTTCACCAAGTAGAGTGGATGTTACTCAAAGCTCTAATCCCTAAGATGTCTATTCAGTCAAGTTTTCTTTCCTCTTTCTTCCTTTCTTTTTATAGTGCTAGGGTTTGAACTCAAGGACTTGATCTTGCTACATAGACAGTCTGTCACTTGAGCCACATCTCCAGCCCTTTGTACTTGAAGTTAGTTTTTAGATAGGGACTTGAGTTTTTGCCTAGGCCTTTCAGGATTGTAATCCTCCTCCCTGTATAGCCGGTAACACAGGTAGGCACCACCACTCCTGGCTTATTTTTTTAAATGGGCGTCTCACTAACTTTTTGCCAGGGCTAACCTTGAACTGTAATCCTCCCTATCTCTACCTGCCTCATACTTAGTTTTTCTATCGACAGTTTTTCTACCAACATACGCTGTTTCCAAATTCAACTCACTTGCTTTACAACATTTTCTATTGTGGCGAAGGTTGGACTTTATTTGCCTGAGTTAGCCTGGCATCACTCATTTCCATGCCGTCTTGTTCAGGTGCTAATCAGTATTTCTTTACATTCCAATAGAAAGGTTATCTAATAGAGCACCTTCTCTTCTAGAAGCCTGTAATGGGAGTTTACACACATTGTTGCTGGGGCCTGGCAAGTAAATGTTTTTCTAGGTCATAGGGTTGGAGGGATGAATGCAAAGGTGGGGAACAAGGGTGGGGGTGGAGAGCCTCTGTGGTTGACAGGAGCAACCACAGGAAGGCTTGAACAGACAGTCCCTCTGCACAAGGCAGGCACTCATATAAGCTGAGTTGACTGTCAGAACACACACAGCTTGGGCAGGGCACTAAGGAGGGCTGAAAGCCTGTGGTCCTGAATGATGCATGACTGAAAATTAGGAAACTCTTAAGTGTGGGGCCTAGGTTCCTGGGCAGAACAGCAGCCCCAGGAAGAATGTAAAGGGCAACTAAGGAGCTGGGGAGGGAGAGATGAGAATATGGAGGTATTAAGGAGATGAACACAGTTTAGCTTGGTTTATTAGCTACATGACCTTGAGCAAGTTGTTTACTTCCCCTGAACTTCAGTTGCTCTTCTTATCTGTAAAACCAGACAATCATGCTATCTCTGCCAGAGGATTACTATGAGAAGCATATAAAATAATCCCTCAGAAACTTTGGGGGGGGGGGGATAAACTAGGCTTTGAACTTGAACTCAAGGCCTCTCACTTGCAAGGCTGGCACTCTACCACTGAGCCACACCTCCAGTCTCCTTAGTGCAGTACTTTTGGTCACGTAGAGCTAACATCAAAATTGCCTTGATATCAGATGCCATCTGCTACTGGCAAGTTTCCTTGCCTCTCTTCTATCTTAGAATAGAGTTGGTCCCCAAGGGAAAGAGGACAGAAGTGTGATAGAAGAGGCAACATTGATTAGAATACAGTATGAACATGTGAAATCTCCTCCTGTTTAGCTGATATAAGCCAATAAAAGAAATAAAAAAGAATTGGTTCCCAAGAGCCTGCCTGGCCTGAGCCTGCAGGTGGAAGTAGTCTACACATAAGGACTGGAAGACAGTACAAAGAGCTCCTGCCATTCATATCCTTGCTCCTATTCAGGGATTGATTTTTATTCTTTTTGTCTCATAAACCATTTAAGATTAGTTTCTAGTCAGGCATGGTGATGTACACCTATAATCCTGGCACTTGGAAGGCTTACGCAGGAGAATTGCAAGTTTGAGGCTAGCCTAGGCTACACAGTGAGTTCCAGGTTGCCTTGGAACAAACAATCCTGTTTGTCTCAGAAACAAATGTACAAACTAGACACTGGTGGCCCATACCTATAATCCTAGCTACTTATGAGGCAGAGACTGAGGATCATAGTTTGAAGACATCCCAAGCAGGAAAGTCTGTGAGCCTCTTATCTCCAATTAATAAAAAGCTGGAAGTGGAGCTGTGGCTTAAGTTGTAGAACACCAGCCTTGAGCAAAAGAGCCCAGGGACAGTACCCAGGTCTCATATTGTGATCTATGTATAATATACATTAGATCTACATGTTTATATCTATAAAATACATTCAAGTATATAATAATAGATTTGGAAGGATCTATGAAAGCCAAAAGCTACTAAAGATGGGTATTCTTATGATCCAACCCTCATGAGAGGCTAAGGCAAAGGATAGAAAATTTGAGGCCTGGGCTACAAAGCATGACCCTGTCTATAAAAGACTATTTAATCTAGTACTTGAGTCCTTCCTGTAATCACCAGCCAGCCACTGTTGAGCATGCCCAGGCATGCTCAAACTAAGCTGTTCAGCTTAGTTTGTCTTTATCCAGCCTCATTATTGACCCTGAGTCTCCATGTGTCTTTCATCTATCACTTGGTCTATCCTTTTCCACTTGGTATACACACAAATAGTAACAGCTGCCTTAAACCTTGAGATTGTACCTTCTGCAAACTATATGTTTCCGTGTGTGTGTGTGTGTGTGTGTGTGTGTGTGTGTGTGTGTGTGTGTGTGTGTGTGTGTGTGTAGACAGACACACAGGGCCTGTGCACACAAAGGGCTTGTGCACTATCCCTGAGCAACTTTTTCTCAAGGCTAACATTCTAGCCACAGCTCCACTTCTGGCTTTGTGGTAGTTAATTAGAGTTAAGAGTCTCAGGGCTTTGAACAGCAATCCTCAAATCTCAGCCAACTGAGTAGCTAGGATCAAAGGTGTGAGCCACCTGCACCTGTCCAAATGTTTCCTTTTTTAAAAAAAGTGCTGTGGAGATTGTAACTGTCACTTCATAGTGATTTATGTATTTTATTGCTATTATTCTTTGGCCCTTATTGTTATTCTTTCTGTTTAGGATTATGGTAGGATTATTGTAGTTTAAATAGCCTGAAAAATGTATGAATTGGATACATAAATTACAAGTGCAGAGATTTTAATATAAAAGGCAAATTGTTTTAGATTTCTTTGTATTGTACATATTTAATATTTGCCTGAAAGGGTTTAATGGGGTTTATTGTTGTTGTTTGAAGCAAACATCCAGTGAAAATTCAGTTGACATTTTCTGAGTGTCTGTGAGCCAACCCTGATGCTTGCTGTCTTTATACCTGTTTCCTCTATAAGGCTCATTTTCTCCATTAGTGGACACTGAAGATGACAAGCATTTCCCTAAGGTTTCATAGCCAGGTAACTAGTTTTTCCCCAACATGTCTGTTGCAGTCGCCATAACTATTACAAATTGACAATAGCAACAGTTGTTCCCAGCATGATCATCTGTGCACTTTTCCACATGCAATTTTATTTAAAAAAAAAAAAAAAAAAAACAAGCAAGCCCTTGAATTGCATATCTGGAAGGAAGCCCAGCTCCCTTCCCTGCCTGCCCTCTGGTGGAGATATTTGCAAAGAACAAAATGGACCCAGAGCAGGCAAGGAAAGAGAAGTGCCTTCCTCTCTCTGCCACATGACAAAACCTAGAAGGTCCTGCCTACAGTTTTATCACTACTCTTAACACTGTACAGCAGTCATACAGAAATGTCTCTTCGGTAGGCTAAGTTCTTTCTAGACCTGGGACATCTCTTTTAGCATTCTGCCTGAGATTAGAAGCTAATGGTTAATAATGGTTGGCTGGTTGAATGAATGAATGTATGATTATATCCTAAACTGGGAGAGCCAAATTAAAGAACATGGAAGTGCTTTGTGAAAGATAAAATAATCTTAGTTTGTGCTTTTAGAACAGAGGATAATTTTTAAATTAAATATTAGAGTCAAGACGATTTCCAAAAAAGCCCCAGGAAAAGGCTGGAGGAAGTTGTTTCAACAACTCTTGTCCTACGTCTCCCAAGACAGAGGCGCTAACAGACTCAGACCATATCACGGCGTCCATTCCCAGAGCCTTCTGAACTTTCATGAGTTTGCCATCTTCTGCCATTCCACTCAAATGTCCCTGTCCTCTGTCACTTAGCCAGGACAATGGAAAATAATCTTGTACTTTGGCTAATAGGCTGGGACTGAAATTACACTCTACAGCAGATGTAACTTTATATTCTGTAACTGCACCGGCTTGCCCTTTAGCCAGTAGGTAGGTAAATCAGTCTTATCTGTCTAAAGCAGACTCTTGGGGCTATGTTACAGTAATGACCTCAGGGATTAAGTTTAGGTGATTCCAGATCTTGCTTCATCCTCCTGCCCTTCTTTCCAAAGTGACCTAAGCTCTCAGCACTCAGGCAGTCACTCTGGCATTGGGTGGGAGTTAGGGAGATGTAACATTGTCCTCCCTGCTCCCCAAACATCCTGCCCTGGTACCTAGACAGCCAGCTGGTCCCATCATAGACACTGGCTCTGCCTTCATCTCTACTCATGAAGACTGCCTCTGTGGCTTTGGTTCACTCCTGGTCAGTTTCCCCAGCACTTCTGGGTTAATACAGACACACCTGGTTAGCCAGATGCTGAGTGGATGTGGGCCATAGTGGTTGGAGGATGTTTCATGTTCTCATGTCCACTGCCAGCATTTCTATTCTTTTGTGTGTGTGTGTGTGTGTGTGTGCACGCGCGCGGGCGCACATGTGTGTTGGTCATGAGGCTTGAATGCTGGGCCTGGGCGCTGTCCCTCAGCTCTTCAGCTCAAGGCAATCACTCTACCACTTGAGCCACAGCACCACTTCTGGTTTTCTGGTGGTTAATTGGAGATAAGAGTCTCACGGACTTTCCTGCCCAGGCTAGCTTTGAACCACGATCCTCACAGATCTTAGCCTCATGAGTAGCTAGGATTACAGGCATGGGCCACTGGAACCCTGCAAACCATTTCTGTTCTTTCAGACACTAGCTAGAACAGCCACTCTAGGGGACTTGTGATTTTTCATGAACTCAGTCCCAAGGAGAAAATTTCCCTGTCTGGAATTCCCCACAATTTACTTGGGTGTTCCTCCCACCCTGGCTTTCTTCTCTCTTCCCCCCCTTGTGCTATCCCTTGATTCTCCTTCCTACACTAGCAAGATTTCCCATTTTTCCATTCTTTCTGGTAGGTATGACCCTACTGTCAAATCCTTCTCTATCCCTTGGGCATTTTGCCTTCTCCTTCTGGAACAATCATCCCAGCTTCATAGCCTACAGTTCACAAAAAAGGGGGTATTGGGGAATAATACACAATAAATGCTATCCTGCCTAACTAGTTAGGGTACATCATCTCCTAGAAGAAGCTAACATAAACCTAACTTCCTTAAAACTTGATGTGGCCAGGGGGGTGGGGAGGGAGGAGGCTATGGACATCAGAATAGAAGAGTCATGTCTTGAGTTTGATCCACCTCCCCCTAACCCCACCTCAAAGGAAACTGCCCCTTGGCCCAAAGACATGCTCGGTTTATGCTAGGTAGGTGTGTCCTGTTATCTTAACTCCACCCACTGGGATATCTGGGGATTGACAGTCAGGCTAGCTTGCTTCTGGAGGTATGGAGTTTGTCCTGTCTCATGTGCAACTCCACTGCCCTGAGCAACGCTCCCAGACAGCTTTGCAGCAAGTCTGCCGGAGACTCTGGTTTTTGTCAATTCCCAACGTGGACATGGACAACTTCTTAAGTAGGCCAGACCCTGCCAGAGGACAAGCTTGGTAACCATGGGCAGCCTCCTTTCCTCTGGACATCTCAGGCTGCTGGCTTCAGGATTATGTTTCCCACATTCTAGAGGCCCAGTGGGGTGGAACCTCAGTCACAATGGCTGCCTCCTCTCCCCTGCAGGATGGAACGGCACCCCTGTGGATCGCGTCCCAGATGGGCCACAGCGAGGTGGTGCGGGTGATGCTGCTTCGCGGAGCTGACCGCGATGCCGAGCGCAATGTGAGTGTCAGGGGTGCTGCGATCACCCAGCCACGTGGCCCACTGGGCTCAGACATGCCCAGAAAACAGGGTTTATATTTTGTCTATAACTCACCGGGGCAGCCTCTCAACCTCCACCTGCTCTTTAGCAGGAAAACAAATTCCGATGTGGCGGAAACTTCCCAGGTGTTGAAGGCGCTGTCTTTTACCTGAGAGGACTTCTGGACCAACTGAGGAGGGGGGAGTTTTACTTGGCCTCAGACCTGGGATCTCTGGTTTAGAGCCAAGCAGTGACTCTGGCTGGCTAACCTCATCCCTATTCCCTGCAGAGCCAAGTCCCCCCCATACATCCCTCCAACTCTGCACTTCTATACCCTGCCCTACTGTCCACAGTAGTTTGTGCAGTGTCTCCTAATTCTGCCTCAGTGGGCCCAGGCAGCAGGGCTTTGCCACAAGTTAACTAAGGTCAGATTGGAGGTTACAAGGATCTGCCCACAGCAGGCTGTTTGCTTTCTGTCAGGATCTCTGTGTCTGGTCCCTTTGCCTTTCTATTACCATCCCATGTCCCCCCACCCCATGCCAAATCTAAGCCTAAAATGGGAAATCTGAAGGAAAGATCCTGTCCTCTTTTCCCACTCTTTTTCTCTTCTTCCCACCATCTCTAAAGCCAGAGAAGGAAAAATCCCCTCATCCTACTTGCCTTTTTCCCATTGCAGACAAGCCCACAGGGAGAGGTAGGGCCCTGGTTGCAGGAGAACTCAAGAGCAAGTCTTCAAAAGCAGCAAGCAATTAGTACCTTAAAGCAGGAAACTCTCAACGGAATCTGGGAAATCTCTTCTTGAGCCAAAAATGGCCAAAGTGAATGTTAACTTCTTAATTCTTTGCATTTGGACTTTTAGCAGATTTCAATCTATCCCTCCTCATCTCCATCACCCCCCTACACACACACACTCACACACAGGCAAATAGATACATGGGACAAATATATAGATGTATAGAGCAAGATGACTGTAGAAAACTCCATCTTTTAAGATAAAAAAAAGTTCAAAACAGCAAATACAGTTCAACAATAATTTAAATCATAAAAGACAGATAAGCAATTTCCTCCAAGTCCTCCTGGTCCACCAGTATCCTACAAATATGCCCTTGTCCCTGACCCAGTGGCTCTAAGAGATCAGAAGGGTATGAATTCCCTAATCAGACATAATGTGTCTGATACTCTCATATAAATTAATGACCTAATAAACTAAAATACTCCCAGGTTGAAACATTGTTGATTTGTTCTTCTTACACAAATGTTTCTAACAAGCATAATGCACTCCCAGTTCTGAACTGACACTTATTCCTCAGCCAACATATGTTAATAATCAACTTCTATTTTTCCTTTTCTATTCAGGATGGTACTACAGCATTGTTGAAAGCAGCCAACAAAGGGTATAGTGATGTGATCCAGGAGTTGCTTAAATTTTCACCCACTCTTGGTATTTTGAAGGTAAGATACCAGGAGAAATTGTCCCAGTCTATAAAAGGGAGAGCTTAGAAAACAAATGTATATGTATATTACAGTAGAATAAGAGAATAATCAGCCTGGTTAGTGTTTTCTTAAGAAACCACCACCTTAATTCCTTGTGGCTGGATACTTTTATAGACACTAGTAGAAATATGAACATGGCAAAACAAAAAGCAAGCCAAGTGTAATTGCTCATGCCTGTAATCTCAGGTTGAGGCAGGAGGATCACAAGTTTGAGGTCATTGTGAGCTCCATAATGCAACCCTGTTTCAAAAACAAAAAAGAGAAAACACAGTCTATCAGTATTTAATTTTTCAGGGGAAATAAAAAGATATACAGTCAATGAAATTTCTAAAATTGGAAAGTAGCCAGGTGCTGGTAGTTGTAATCCTAGCTACTCAGGAACTATAACACACCTGTAATCCTAGCTATTCAGGATGCAGTTAAGTCTGTGAGACTCTTATCTCCAACTAACCACCGGAAAACCAGACGTGGAGCTGTGGATCAAAGTGGTAGAATGCTAGTTCTGAGCAGAAGAGCTAAGTACAGGACCCAGGCCCTAAGTTCAAGCCCTACAACTGACAAAAAAAAAGCATAAATAAACAGGAAAATAAGCCAAATTGATATCGTTTGGAAGATCTGTGCAATTAAGAAAAATACTGAGGACCTTCTTTCATTACGCTGAGCAAAGAACTACTGTGCTTAGTTTCCTTAAATGAAATAAAATTAGCCTAGCACACCTGAAAGCCCTAGAAAATATGTCTTTCTGGCATCCTGGGTCTTCCAGAAAACAGCCCAACATCTCTTCGGTAAGTTTAAATTATTTTGGATTAAAAATCTCTAATGAACACTAGGGGTCAGCAAACATTTTTTATATATAAAGGACCGGACCGTACATAGGCTTTGTGAGTGTGTTAGTCCAGCTTTTCAACATAAACAATCTAAGAGAGGACAGATTTATTTTGGCTTACAATTTTCTCATGGAGAACATGACAGAGCAGAACACTTTACATCATGGCAGCCAGAAAGCAGAGGAAGAAGGGACCTAGTCCTGTGGCATGCTGCCATCAAACCTCTTCTTCCAGCTAGGCCCCACCTCATAACGTTTCCACCACCTCCCAAAATAGTATCACTTGGTGGGGACCATGGGTTCAACACAAGAGCCTGTGGGAGCATTTCATATCCAAACCATAACAGTGGTCCACAGGGTATGTATCACCATTCCTCAAGTCTGCTATGACAGTAATAAACAAAAAGCAAGGAAAGTGTGGCTTCATTCCCATAGTTTCATTTATTTAACTATATTGTATTTATGAAATTTCCTGTTTTCACAGCTACAAATGTTCTTTTCAGCTTTTTAAGAATCATTTAAACGTGCAAAAGCAATTCTTAGCTTATAGAATAGACAAAAACAGAAACTGGGCTAGACTTGGCCCATAGGCCATACTTTGTTGACCCAACTATATAGCTGTTTTTTTGTTTTGTTTTGTTTTTGTTTTTTGGCAGTACTAGAGTTTGATTTCAGGGCACCATACTTGCTAGACAGGCTCTCTACTACTTTAACCAGACCTTTAGCCCTACCCTACTGTTTTCTTAAACACAGAACACCAAATCTATTCTACGTTGGCACCGTGTTTAGCAGTTTGGAGACTGTGCCCTCACGATCTATCAAGATCTATATAATCAACTATAGCCCTTCTGTGTATCAGCTTTATAATAACAAGTTAAAAACTTTCAAACAATAGTTCTGTATTGTGTGTTCATACTATACATATTTTATCTGCCCTTTGTATTTTATACTCCATTCTTGCTATCATCCATTACCAGAATCGCTGGGTTCACTGTGGCGGTCTCTCTCCATTCTCTTAATGAGCTACTTCTAATCTTCCTTGAACTTGGAAGCCAAAAAAGGTTGCACTTGTTCAAACTGTTTGTAAACAAAATACATCTATGAAAGTGAAATTATGCACATAAAAAGATGCTTTAGAAATGGACTTCTCAATATCTAGGATTGTTTCCAACCATTCTTTTTTGACTTTCTGTTTGGTTTTGTGCCAACACCAGGGCTTAAACTCAGGTCTTGCACTATTGCTCAGCTTTCTTTCTCATGACTGGCACTCTACCATTTGAGCCACAACTGCAGTCCAGCTTTTCTGCTTGGTAATTGAGATAGTCTCTCAGACTTTTCTTCCCTGGGTTGGCTTTGAGCCACAGTCTCAGACCTAAAATCTTCAGATCTAATCTTCTGAGTAGCTAGGATTACAGGTGTGAACCACCCAGCACCTGGCTTCTTTGGCTTTTTTTTATTAGCCATGTTGCAAATAGGTGGAGTTGATATATTAGTTCATAATTAATCATGTAAATTGAGAATAGTAGTACATCTGTAATCCCCGCACTCAGGAGACTGAGACAGACATTTCTTGAGTAACTAAACATGGCTGTGTGCAGAGTCAAGGCCAGCCTGGGCTGCATAGAAAGACCCCTGTCTCAAAAAAATTACAAATATATACATATATAAATATATACATATATATGAAGAGGCAGAGAGAATGTTATCACATTAGTGAATTATCATATATAATACGAAAACAACCATAAGAATTTTCTGAAAGAATGATATTCTGCTTTTACAAAGTCACAATGGGTTTGAGTCATTAGCTTGCATTTGGACACTATTTTTAGACATACATAAAGAATACACACACATACACACACACATACACACATACACCCAACATCCTATTGTTCATCATCCTTATACCAATTTGATTCTATTGTCTTCTTTTCCCCTCCCAGATTCTTTTCCCCTCCCAGATATAGCTCTGAGCTACCTTTATTGCTTCCTTATTTTAATAAGTGTTTCCACTAAATTTTACATAGCATCAGGAATCCATCTTCTGGGCCTTAAGTGCTCACAAATACTTCAACTGAGGGCTCAGAAAAATTGCCTTAGGACACAGACTCAAATACTGTGTACTCAGTGGCTCTAGCTGGGCTCCAAGTAGTCTCTTCAGATATCTATAGCCCAGCAGGAAGTGGATCAGCAAAAGTACAAAGAAAAAAGTTCAGCATAGTATTGCTGGGGGATTTTGTTTGTTTTCCTGTAGCAAATTCTAAAATATATGAAACTATCAGAGGGCTAGGCACTAATGGCTCATGCCAGCTATATCCCAGTTCCAGGTTGGTCTTGGCAAAAAAGTTGGTGAGACCCTCATCTCAACAGAAAAGTCCAGGCATAGGTCTGTCTGTCTGTCTGTCTGTCATTCCAGCTATGGCAGGAAGCAAGCCCAGGCAAAAAGCAAAACCCTATCTCAAAACTAACAAGAATAAAAAGGTCTAGCAGCATGGCTCAAGTAATAGAGTACCTGCCTAGCAAGCAGGAGTAGGTTTTGAGTTCAAAACCCAGTACTATCAACAGTAAATAAATAAATACAAAATACAAAAATAAAATTCTTACAGTGACCCGTGAAGTCATGTGTAGCCTGGGCCAGATTCCTTGTTTCCTTTGCAAGAGAACATTGGTAATCCTTGCACTGACCATGGCTGGAGATCTGAAGGCATTGTACTAGGTGCTAGTGTGACTGCAAGAGAATATAGGAAAGACTAATGCTTGAGGTAATCGTCTTATCATTCCGATGATTCATGATGAAAGCCAAGCTAAGTGCCAGTGGCTGAGCTTCCTCCTGACATACTCTGTCATTTTCTTTTAGAATGGGACGTCAGCACTCCATGCAGCAGTGCTCAGCGGGAATATTAAAACAGTGGCACTGCTTCTGGAAGCAGGGGCAGACCCAGCCCTGAGAAACAAGGTACCCACTTACCCCATCTTTTAACTCCCCTGGGTTTTCATGCAAAGAGATGACATCATCTTAAGCTAAGATAAGCATCACTCTGGCTCCTATGACTGTCTTGAGTTTGCTATAGATAGGGCATTAACCCAGGGAATTGTACTGCAAGCCTTACATTAGCAATGGTTTTCCACTGATAATGGTTCAGGCTCCCAGCAAGAGCAACGGAGGCCAATAAGGCAATCATTACAGGAAGTAAGGATTGTTCTATCATCAGAGATGTGTCCTAAAAATGTCATGGCAGTTTATCACCATCTCTCAGAGTAGGACTTTCCCATCTTGAGCATCACTTGTGCTGTGCTTGGTGACTCCATGGAGGGGAGGGGGAAGGGGCATTTATATTGACAGGTGTACATGCCACTGATACTAAACCAACCTCTATTTTAATCATTCTCAATCTTTAGTTTACAGTGAGGCCAAACTTGTAAGTCAGAGTTCATAATAGCAATAGAAAAAAAAATTGCCTTGTGCTGGAGGCTCACACATATAATCCTAGTTACTCAAGAGGCTAAGATCTGAAGATCTCAGCCTGGGCAGGAAAGTCCATGAGACTCTTATCTCCACTGAATCACCAAAAAGCTGGAAGTGGAGCTGTGGCTCAAGTGTTAGAGCACTGGCCTTGGTGGGGGTGAGGGGGGAGGAGGGGATCAGACACAAGTCAGGAACAGTGCCCAGACCCTGAGTTCAAGCTCCAGAACCAACACACACACACACACACACACACACACACACACACACACACACACACACACACACACACACGACTGTCATTTTACTTCTTTGTATTCAACATCTACTTACGCCGCTGTCACATGCCCAGATGCAGGAAGAATGGCTTATGAAAAAATCTAAACTACACTGGGCACTGTCCCTTAGCTCTTCAGCTCAAGGCAGATGCTCTACCATTTGAGCCACAGTGCCACTTCTGGTTTTCTGAAGGAAGACATTAGATTGATGTTTATTAATAGAAGACATTAAAAGATATCTTCACTTTACTCCATATTTCCATACTCACTGAATTTTTCTATTGCTGTGTTGGAATTTTTTTAAAAGCAAAACAGGCATGCATGGTGGTTCATACTTGTAATCCCAGCACCTGGGTATCTGGGGCAGGAAGATTGTGAGTTTAAGGCCATTGTGGGCTTCATAATGAGGCCCTGTGTCCAAAAATTTGTTTTGAAGATAAAAACAAGGAGCCTGGTATGTAGATCAGTGGTAGAATATTTGTCTAACATGAGTGAAGCCCCTGGGTTCAGGTACCCAGAGCTAAAAAATTTTTTGTTGTTATCTTTTTTACAAAAGATACTTATAGGCTGGGAAGATAACTTAGTGATAGAGTGCTTGCCTAGCATGCATGAAGCCCTGGGTTCCATTCCTTAGTACCACATAAACAGAAAAAGCCTGAAGTGATGCTATGACTCAAGTGGTAGAGCACTAGTCTTGAACAGAAGATGCTCAGGGACAGTGTCCAGGCCCTGAGTTAAAGCCCCAGAACTGGCACAAAAAAAAAAAAAAAAAAAAAAAAAAGGTTCTTCGTAGCCAGGATCAGTGGCTCAAACCTATGATCCTTGGGAGACACAGATATAGTTCAACCAATGGATGGCTGTAGCAGTGTACCTATCATACAGCTAAGTAGGGAAACAAATAGGTGGATCAGAGTCCAGGCCAGCCAGGACATAGAATAAGACCCCTTCCCATCTCAGAAATAACCAAAATCCAAAATAATGGCTGAGGGTGTGGCTCAAGTAGCAAAAGTGCCTGCCTAGAGAGTACAAGGTCCTGAAGTTAACCATAATACCACTACCAAAAGAAAAAATGTTATTCTTCAATGTACAACCACCCTCAGGACAACACTTTATTCTGTAGGTGTCAAGAACTACTATGGCAGGGAATCTAGATGTTCAATAGGAGTGGAATCAGGAGTCACCATCTTTTAGGCACAGGGAACAGCTTACCTTTTGCCAAATGTCTTAATTCTGCCCGTGGCCAGGGGGCCTTTCCTAATGCATTCACTTTTACCTCTTGGAGTTTCTTTCTCTTTTCTACTTGAAAGTTTCATCTTCCTTCTCTTCTTTATTTTCTCCTTGATCTGCTTCTTGAGCTTTTTGAGGGGCTTTCTTGTGATACCTTCTCAGCCAGTTATGGTGCCTGCCTCCCCTTCCCCAGACCCTGAATCTTAATTGGAAATGGAGCTCTAGTTCCTCCATAAATATATGCACATACTTGGAGTCTTAGGCCAGAGCCCTGACTCTGAGACTTCCAACATATCAGATCCAACACTGGTCCCAAAGAAAGCAAATGGAAGCAATAAAAAAAGAGCAGAGTGATGGGAGGAAGGAAAGTTAGCTTTTCTTTAAATACGAGATAGGTACAACATGAGATTTGGGTTTAAATAGAGGAGCAACTGGGGCACGGGAAAAGAGGTGTGCTTACCTGGTCAAAGGTATAGTCTTACCGTTATCTCAGTTCTGGTCCTGGAGAAGTGGTTTTTGGGGTTGCTTCAGTAAAGCTTCCATCTATCATAAAGATGTTTATTGGGCAGCCTGGTCATTCCCCAAATCCAAGGTGACTACAAGCTTAGGGCAATGATTAATCACTAAAACTTTCAGGTGCTTTGGGGATATCCAGAATAAGACATTATATAAGATAGTAGGGCCATTAGGTTATCTTATCTTGGTCCTTTAAGTCAGGAAAGGGAATAAGATAGACTTGTTATCAGTGGGTTTGTTTGTTTATTTTAGATAGACACTACTTGAGTGAGTAACATGCCTACTATGTGCAGGGATGGGAACCAAGGGTTTAAAATGGAGACAGATGCAAAATGAGAGCAAGGATGTGAGACTTTTTCCCAGGTGAGGATTCAGTGCTTTTTAGCAAAGCAGTTTCTAAGTACTTAACATGCATGTATAGATGCATATATATTTATATGTGTACATACATATACATATATACATATATTCAGGGCATTTGGAAAAGAAACCCATTAGGAAGGGCAATGGAACAGCCAAGGCCAAGGGTCACTTTTACCATTTTACTTAGCATATAGAAATATTATTTCCCTATTCCTGCCATTGAATTGCTTGTAGATAACATGTCTACTAAAGCCTCTACTTATCTCTGTCCCAGATAGTTGGATTTGTTTTCTATTAGCTGGCCTGGCTTGTGATAAGCTAGCAGAAGTCACTATTGCCTTTCTTTTTTAATTTAGTCCTGTACACTTCTGTACAGGACTGCCTAAAGTGATCAGTTTTTGCTAGTAAGCTATCCGGGACTGAGTTAAACTTGGGAAAAAAACTGCAATTGCAGGCTCCTGCCTGTAATTCTAGCTACTCAGGAGGCTGAAGTCTGAGGATTGTGGTTCAAAGCCAGCTGAGGCAGGAAAATCCATGAGATGCTTATCTCCAATTAACTTCCAAGAAGCCAGAAATGGGAACTGTAGCTCAAGTGGTAGAGCACCAGCCTTGAGCAAAAAAAGCTAAATGACAATACCCAGGCCCTGAGTTCAAGACTCAGAGAGTAGCTGCATATGCCCACCAGTAGGTGCACGTGGGTGTGCGTGCGCGCGTGCATGTGCGTGCGAGCGCGCGCGCACACACACACACACAAATACCATGGAGACAGAAGATAACATTTATATATTTGTTTAAATGCATAATGTGTATACATTTAAAGGAGATCTGTATTGCCTTAATACAAAAGTATGAGTCTGGCAGGGTAGAAAATTTGGGTATCTAAAGCCACAGCAGCTATGAGGAGTTACTGATGTCCATCTCATCTTCTTTCAGGCCAATGAACTTCCAGCAGAACTAACCAAAAATGAACACATACTGCATCTCCTCCGTAGTAAAGAAGGACACAGGAAGAGCTAACTTAGTTCCATTTTACACAGAAAGCTAGAAACCTTAACCATATTGTCCCAAAACAAATGGCTTTCAAACAGTGCTAGAAATTCTTTGAAGAAATAATATACTCAGAATGTCTGCCCTGCGGGTCCCTGGCTGATAGCTGTGCTTTGAGCACAGATTCAGGAACAGGAGAGCTCAGGGGTCCCCTTCCCTCACTCTCAGTGGGCTTCTCACACGATCCTATAACCCAAGTCCAGGCCAGGCGTTGTCACCGATTCTACATTTGCAACTATACTAACTTGGTTCTCTCAGTTAAAACTTGAAGTTGGACAGGGTTTTCAGAATTAAGCAAAGACACAGAAAGTTTTGTCCCTTTGAGAGAATGAATGGTTGACTCAATGAATTGCTGCACTTTTGTTTTGTGTGCCATGTAGATGTGCTAAAATGTATAGGTTCATCATGTTTTACAAAATCTATGTATGTCATTTCTTCTTCCCCCTAAAGATCATAGCCATAATTAATGCAAATCGATGATGTGCAGGCATACTTTAGTCAAGGGCCACTTCCAACATCCCATCAGGTGCTTCACAAAGATGGACGGTTGAATTATAGAAAAGACAAATTGTATGCTTGTTAACCTGAAGCTTACTCCTGAAGTATAAAATCATTTACTTAACTTTGTCGGTATGTTAGGAAACCAGTGAAAATTTAGAAACTGGAAATTACACATCACAGGAAATAGAAGCCCTGTCTCTTTGAGCTTTTATTTTGGTGCCAGTTTTGGTTCTAGTAAGTAGACCTAATATGCTCTGAAATCTTAAGCTTCCAACACTGCATTGCTTGATAGAATGGCTTTGAAATCATATTATATGTAAATCTAATGTATTGCTGGAGTGTAAGTAATAAAAGATGATTGCTAGTATTTAATAAGTGTTCATCTCTGCATGTTCTTGGGTTGATTCAAGGAGTCTTCTATTGGAATTATTTCTTTGAAGGAGGTCACTAAAATTTATAATCAGTGCACTTGATAATCAATGGTGTCTAACTGTCTCTGTCAGTGCCTAACTACACACACAATAAAAGTTAATCAACACTAGTATCATTTCTCTTATTTTTCTTGCTTTATGATGTTCTATTGTAATTTCCAGACAATGTTCTATGTGAATTCATGTTATGATGGAGGGAAACTGAATCACCAAGTTTTGTTTAACCAAAATGAAGAAGTACTAAATGCATTCTCTGTAAGTCAGTAAAGTATGGAATATAATTTTTTAATTAAAAGATACTCTCAAAATTGTTTAGGATTAATTCATTAAAAGCTTTATTTGAAACATTATCATAAGCAAAGCCACTAATGAGCCATCTACAGCTCTCCAAGATAGCTATGGCCTCAGTAGCTCTGCAAAAATCTACAGTCTCATTTCTTTTCTTTCTTTCTTTCTGTCTGTCTGTCTGTCTGTCTTCCTTCCTTCCTTCCTTCATCCCTTTCTTTCTTTCTTTCTTTCTTTCCTGTCTTTCTTCTTTTTTTTTTGAAAGTGCTGATCACCAATTCAACACTAGTGAATTTAGCCTCTCTACTGCTAGTACAAGCCTGCCCCACCCTGCAAGGTTCTTACTTTAATTTCAAGATAAGAGATTAGAAAGCTCTCAAAACATCAAACATAAACATTCTGCTAGCTTAAAAGCAGTGCCAATTTCCTCACTGACAGACTTTTATTCTGCAGTTATTCATATACACATTTTTCCCATATGGGAATTTTAAAAACCTATATCCATTTTGAAGAAGAAAATAATGTGGCCTTAAATGCTTTATATTTTTCCCTTTAGTTAACCATTATAGCAAAAATAGTTGTTGAGCACTGATTCAAAACAAAACACTAGTAGGGTTACTAACAACAAAGTTACAAAAGATAGAATAACAAACAATGCTTTTTACTAAAATATGTTGTCCTTGGTCTATTCCTTATATTGTTTTAGGTGGCTAATGTTCTTGAATAATATCAGGGTGGTAAAAATGAACCTAGTAGCTTTAACAATATTTAATGGAGGCTTTCTTGCTATAGGTAAGAGATCTGGTTTAGAAGGATCACACCTAACCTAGATGAGATTATAATATGAAGTTTGTCTGGGAAGAGGATTAAATGCCTACCAAAGACAGAAAAAAAAGGTCTATTATTTAAAAATTGTATTTTAGTTTGTACACATATAAGTGATACTTTATGTTCATCTAATTCACAATTCAGTGAACTCTGTATCCTAAGACTTAAAGCTGCCAATTCCTATGCAAATCATCTGCATAACTGAACTACAAAAGATTATCAGGATATGTTTATTTGATAACACATTCCATTTTGTAGTTGCAAATAAAGCTAATATACTACCCAATTTGCCTTTGCTGCTTTTTTCCGGTCTTTCAGTTAACAGTTACTTCTAATGGAATACAATTTTTAGAGCAATTACTACAACTCTGTTAATAAAATAAATTGACATTTGGGATCCTGAAGGGACTTAGGATTTTGTTATTTCTACTATAGAGAACATTTAGTTTTCATTCAGGAAAGAAACAAAAACCCTGGGCTACTCACAAAGACATTGAAATGGAAAGCTCCTAATGTCCATTTCTGTGTCTATGATGCCCACTCCACATCCACAAGTCCTGGTGGTGGTATTCTCTTATGAAATCGCTGATGACTTTGCAGAACTTCAGGTGTCAGAAGCAACACTGGGAACCTGGAAAAGCCCCTCATGGCTGTTTTGGCTTTCTCTCTTCCTATCCACCTCTACAACCACAGGAAGCACTGCTCATTGTTAACCACCCTGGGAGGGATACCTACAGGAAATCAGCACCTCCAGATATCAAGCTTCCTGCAGTTACACTGAGATGGCTGCAATTGGAGATGGGGGCCTACTGGATAGAGGGATGAAAAACTGAGTTCCTACCTTTAAAACAAGATGGTTTGGGTGCCTGAGTTAGCAGAATTTTACAGGTTCAGGTTTACTGGGAATGTGTTGCAGATTATTTTCTTAATAATCACAGATTATTACTGTAGCAACAGTTTAAAAAAAGCAAAAACTAATATTTGTAAAGGGATAGGTAGGTGCTAAGCACTTGGCTAGGATTGTCTCATCCACCTTCTACCACAATCCATCGTGCTATATGAGGATTTTTCATGTCTCTGTCCCACATTAGCTCATGTCCTTGTCCTTCAAAATATGGAAGTGGGAAAAAAGGACACAAGTTATATGCTGCTGTGTTTCAAACATGGTTTGTCCCCTCCAAATCTCATACTGAGAAAATTCTTCAACACAACAGTATTAGTGTGTGTGTGTGTGTGTGTGTGTGTGTGTGTATGTGTGTGTTGGTCCTGGGCTTGAACTTACTGCCTGGGCTCTACCAATTGAGCCATAGCTCCATTTCCAGCTTTTTTGGTGTATGTATAATTGAAGATAAGAGTCTCATGGAAGGGGAATAAGAGGGAGGGAAAGTGGGAGAAAAATGAGGGAGGGGGTAACAAGTTCAACAAGAAAGGTACTCACTACCTTCCATATGTAACTGTAACCCCTCTGTGTATCACCTTGACAATAAAATTAAATTTAGGGGGCTGGGAAGGTGGCTCAGGGGTAGAGCGCTTGCCTTGCATGCCTGAGGCCCTGGGTTCGATTCCTCAGCACCACATAAGCAAAAAGAAAAAAGCCGGAAGTGGCGCTGTGGCTCAAGTGGTAGAGTGCTAGCCTTGAGCTGAAGAGCTGAGGGACAGCGCCCAGGCCCAGAGTTCAGGCCCCACGACCGGACCAAAAAAAAAAAAAATTAAATTAAAAAAAAATTTTTTTAAAAAGTTCAAAAATTACAGATTAAAATAAGTATATAAAATTTAAAAAGCAGTCTCATGGACTTTCCTTCCCTGTGCTGGCTTTGAACCATGATCTTCCTATCTCGGCCTCCTCTAAGTAGCAAGGATGACAGGCATGAGCTACTAGTGCCTAACACAACAATATTGGGAATTTCATTTTAGATTGCACACATGTAAATGATTCATGTTACTATTATATAGGTAGTTGTACAAAATTATTTTAATTCAATATGTCAATTTATGAGTACAATGCAGTTTGATCAATGTCACCCCTTAAACCGTTCTGCCCCCATGATTCTTTAATGTTAATCTAATTTGCAATTTTGTTAGCTCAGTATCCTCAGAGATAAAACTGGCAGTTCCTATGCAAATCATCTGTGTAATTGAATTGCAGAAGATTTTCATTACACACATGTGTTTGATGACATAGATGACCTTGTAATTCAATGGGGCCTGGTAGGAGGTGACTGGGGCAGGCCAGATGATGGTCATCAAAAGGACTGTGACAGATCTGATCTTCAGTCAGGTAAGTCTCAGAGGGGGACATTAGGGTTGTTAATAAAGAGCCCCTCCCCAGTCACTTCCCTTTTTTCATTTGTGCCAGTCTGGAGGCCTGAACCAAGGATCTAAGCCATCTCTGAACTAGGACTACAGGTGTGAGCCATGGGAGCTGAGCTCTCTTCCTTTCTTATGATCTCTTCTACAAGCACTACTCTGCACTTGCTTGTGCCCCACTGTGTGATACCATCTGCCATGTTTTAATGTATCCAGAAGAAAGATCACCTTTTTGGGGCCTTCAAACTGTGAATTAAAGAAACCTCTTTTCTTTATAAACCCTCAGTCTCAGGTATGCTGTTATAGCAACACAAAACATACCAAGACATATACTCTATAGGAAAAATTAAAATAATTTAATATCCCCCTGGACTCTCCTGCCAGGCTGCCTTTTCCCTCTGCTTACTCTACTGAACACAATGAGGTAAATTAGTAACAGAAAGTTTCCACAGGCTTCCCGACTGTCCTTAGCCCTTAATCTAAAAACTATGTAATTAGTCTGAAAAGTCTTAGAATTTTTTTCCTTGCACTCTTCCCAGCCTATCTTACACTTATTTTTGTCAATAATTTATAAGACAATTTTAAAATATAAACGTATGATGACATGTTTTCATAAATAAAGGAAGCTAACTAAGGCCTTTCATTCTTTTTTTTTCGTCGTTCATGGGGCCTGAACTCGGCCTGGGTGCTGTCCTTCAGCTCTTCAGCTCAAGGTCAGTGCTCTACCACTTGAGCCACAGTGCTACTTCCAGCTTTTTCTGCTTATGTGGTGCTGAGGAATTGAACCCAGGGCCTCATGCATGCAAGGCAAGCACTCTACCACTGAGCCACCTTCCCAACCCAGGTCTTTTATTCTTTGGTGTCTTGTTAGCTTCATCTCTGTCAACAGAAAGAATGACTTCTGCTGTCTTCTCTCCCTACTAGAAAATAACTCTTTAGTCTTCAATGAAGGAAAATGTGGTTATTGTTACTATTTGATGCAGTTAAAGTTTTAACAATGGTCTTAGGGGGGCTGGGAAAGTGGCTTAGTAGTTAAGTGCTTACCTAGAATGCATGAAGCCCTGGGTTCCATTCCTTAGTACCACATAAACAGAAAAAGCCAGAAATGGTGCTGTGGCTCAAATTATACAGTGCTAGCCTTGAGCAGAAGATGCTCAGGATAGTGCCCAGGCCCTGAGTTCAAGTCCCAGCACTGGCAAAAAAGAAAGAAAAAGATAAAAAGGTCTTACAAAACTGATTAAAGGAATCAGATCCCCTATTTTAGAAAAGATCTGACCAAAAACCACCCTCAGGTAAAGGAAAATGTGTTGCCTGACAGAATCCATTTAAAACCCTCAGTGCTAAACTACAAAATTTTTCTCCACTCACTGGAGTGGAAGTTACACAATTTATGTGTGACTCAATTAACCAATTCAAGTGCTTTTCTAGGATGACTAACACTTCTCCATAAAGCTGATGAGCAGTGCCCTAAGTCTGAGTCAGTCATAACCATTCCCACTAAAAGTCATGAGTTATAGCTGTAAGCTGTTTTCAATAAAGATGTCTATAAAATTCAGCTAGTTAAGTAAGGGTTTGGGTTTTTGAGTTTGTGTTTGTTTTTTGTGTTGTGTGCCAGTCCTGGAACTTGAACTCAGGGCCAAGGTGCTCTTTCTGAGCTTTTGTCCTCAAGGCTCATGTTCTACAGCTCCATTTATGACTTTTTTTGGTGGTTAATTGGAGACAAGAGTCTCCTGGACTTGCCTGCTTGGCTGGCTTCAACCTATGATCCTCCAATCTTAGCCTCTTGAGTAGCTAGGATCAGGTGTGAGCCACCAGTGCCTAGCCAAAGTCACCTTTAAAAATATGAAAGTATTTTATTCTCACTTATATTCTCACTTATATTTATATTAAGGAAATACAAATTAAAGATCTCAATTGTGCTGGCATTACAGGCATGTACCACCATGTCCAAAACAATACTTTCAAAAATAAGAAATAAAAGAAATTACAGATTCTATTTTTCAACAGATTCTATTTCTCTGAAT